TTGTTTCTGAGCTGATGAGGTTTATTTTGGAGCTGATGTTTGTTTCTGAGGTGATGAAGTTTGTTTCAGAGGAAAAAAGACACAACACAGATGACAGAGTGGTCAACACACCGTACAGTCATGCACTCAACAGCATAAAAGAGGAGAAAGGGACACAAACTAACATGGGGTAAAATGTAAGATGGATATTTTATGCAGTTAAACAGATTCCAGTAGAACATGCTTTTCGTGTACAAGGTAATCTGTGACTTTTGATCATGATTTACCCAGAAAACTGCTTTTGCACCATAGAGTAACTTTTTTTTTATCATAAGTGTTTTTGATTACTGAGTTCACAGAATTTACTCTGAAATTATGTTAATCTCTCTCTTGGGGGCTGTACAATAGCATAGTTTATAAGCAGATAATCAGCACTCAGTGAGCACTAGCCAGACCTCTACATGGTGGGGTTAGTTTAAGACAACTAAAACCCCTAAAGCAAACAATCTGAGAACTCCACATCTCTCCGGATGCACATATTTTTATGCACATCTTTTGTAAAAAAAATATTTTATAATGTTATTATGCTCATTTTTGCTGTTCTACTTTGTGGTCAAAAATAAACTTAATACAGTCTCTTCACTAATCATATTTATTTAAATGAATACATTTTTTGTATTCAGCTTTGAAAGTTTTGGTTCAAATAATATAGAGCAGTAGCATCCGCCATAACACCTCCGACAACTCTGCACAAACAAAAATACAGATGCATCTAGAACAGAAAGTTCTAAGGCAACCCTTCATAAACCTCAGACACCAGAATGTATCTCCAACACCATTTAAAGTGGAACATAAAATTCAAATAAGAAGCTGGAGAACAGGAAGCCAACTTCAGCTTTGTGCCTCAAACCATGTCGAGTTATACGTAGTTCAAACTATGAGACTAATGTAGCAAACAAGTAACTTATGTACACCAATTCACATGGTGCTAACTGCATGGCTAAGCCATCACACAGTGGGGGACTCACATGCATGCGCAAGGAGATGCAGCCCAGACAGTGCTTGATAGTGCGAACGGCCTGATATGCAAAAATATCACCCATGCTAACCCGAAGAAAAAAAGGAATATTTTTTTTAAAGCAACTATACTGACTATTATACTAGGTGATGATTTCACTGACATCTAAAAAGATATGAAAGGAAATGCAGTTTGAGGGGAAAAGCTGATCAAATGCTGAAATACCTGTCTGGTTTTCAGTAAGCTTTCATTAGTGTGTAATATATATTGTAATAGTACAAAAAAAGTGTAGTACAGTACAATGGGGTGTAATTTTGTAGCATAGTGCAGGAGAGTACAGGGTTGTGGACAACCTCGTTAAACATAAGTGATTGAGTATGTTAGTGAGTATGTGAGTGAGCCAGTAACTAGACCACTAATCAGGATCCTACTGAAAGTTCCAGTAACGTCTGACAAACTGTAGGCGCTTGAGTTTGTTGAGTTGGTCCCTGATAGCAGAGGCTTTCTTTAAGCAACCCTTCCAAACAAGTTGTGGTTATGTAGGTGGTGTCTTTCTTATTGTAGTTTGGAGATGTTCTGACTCCAAGACCAAACTAAAGTCTGCAATTCCCCAGCTTTTTGGAGATTCCTCACCCTCCTCAGTGTGTATGACATACATCCTCTTCTCAGCAGATCTATAACATCTCCATTTCCTTTAAACTTGTTAATTATTGCCCTAATAGTAGAAAAGAGCATTTAGCTATTTTCTTGTAGCTATTTCCTACTTTACACAGCTTAACAACCTTTTATCGCACATTATTGCTGTATTCTCTGGTCTTTCTCATAGTGATGGATGTGTGTCACCTTTTATTTATACCCCAGTAAAACAGGAAGTCTTGGCTGACCATTTAAGTCTTCCTAATTGCTCAGGTGAACTTTAAAACATACAATATGAGTAGAAATGTACTTCAGTTAGATTTCCCTCATAAGAATTTTTAGGCATGCCAACAACTGTGGAACACATAAATTTGCAAAAAAAAATATGATAACATAATTTTCTGATTTTTGTTATTTTTTTAACAAAAGCTCAAAAGGACAGGCAATAAAGAATGTTTCTTACAGCCCATTTTGCTCATGTTTCTGGGCGATGGCAATATTTGTATTACAGTATAATAGTAGCATGCTTAAATATTCTGCAGTAAAATCCTTGATATATACATATTGGTACTCCCATATGATATATCTATTGCTTTGTGGACTATTTAATATCATATTATTTATTATTATGTGAAATAATCATTATGTAGTGAGATGAATACACTATGATTTTCATTTTGGCTCTAATGCATGTGAAGTAGCTGCTCTGTTCTCTTGGTTTTCAATGCTCTGTTTCTGCTAATACCGATCAGGTGGAGTTTATTTGAGACATGGTTTTGGCAGAATGTCATGGAACAAGCAGCAGAAAAAAATCTCACTAGCTGTAGACTCCAGTTTTGCACGCCCATGTTTTGATGAAACATGACTATATACAGATATTTTTCATTTCATCTTAGGGTGGTTCCACACCACAAACATTTAGACCACTTTGTTATCATCTAAAAACACGTCTGACGTTGGATAATGTCAGTTTATGGCTCCTCTACAACAGAGGAGAAAACAAAATGTATAACAGAAACAAAGGATTGCAACTAGATCAGGCTTATTTTAGTAAAGGCCTCATCCGTTAAAATATACCTGGCCATTCTTAACTTTAATACATCTAATGGTAAGAAATAAGACATCAGACATTTTATGACATTACATCATCTATTATATGACTTTATAGGACTTTTCTGTGGAAACCCTAAAATAAAGTAGAGCAAAGAACAGTGTAGTATAGTGCACGTTGTACAGAATTCTGTTCCTGTTTGGGCTTCAGTTTAATTCAATGAATGTTAGACTTTTTAGCTCAACTGAATCCCTGAAAATAGGTGTTGAAGACATGGCAAAAATATCACCATGATACAAGACATTTTCACAACACACAATATACATCACAATATTTAGCTTTTCTAAAATTTAAATTAAAAATTAAATGAAAAAATTAAATTAAATCTAAAATTTGGAAAAGACAAATTAGAACTTGAAGTAGTGTCATATTTAAAAAATACAACAACAACAACAACAACAATAATAATAATAATAATAATAATAATAATAACAAATTATTCTAATACATACAGAATCTTTTAAAGAAAGATTATAATTCTCCCAACTTGTCAAGAGATTTCTCCTTTCCCCACGATTAAGCAGGTTTATTTTATTGTTTTCTTGGTTTTCTTGAACCAGACATTCATTTGGCTCGACCATCGAACATTTCAACTGTATCTTTTTAACCAATCATGCTTCATCAGTGACAGTAGCATTGAAACAAACCTTTATAAGAAAAATCTACAGACTGATATGTTTTTAGACTAAATAATTTAAACAAAAAAAAATAGTAATGATCCTTGAAAGGCAAGACATTGTTGTGTTTTTGTAGGGTGTGCACTGATGGTCACTCTGAGAAACTCCTGGACTTCGAGTGTTTCTCCTCAGAAACCTTCAAGTTTCTCCAGGAAGCTTGTATGACTCAGTTACACAGGTAACAGAGAGCTTAAAATAACTTCCTGCTATATAAATATTCAGGCGGCATGGGGGTGCAGTGGGTAGTGCTGTCGCCTCACAGCAAGAATAGCCTGGGTTCAATTCCTGGCCGGGAGACCAGGGTCATTTCTGTGTGGAGTTTGCATGTTCTCCCTGTGTCTGTGTGGGTTTCCTCCGGGTACTCTGGTTTCCTCCCACAGTCCAAAAACATGCAGTCAGGCCAATTGGACATGCTAAAATTGCCCTTAGGTGTGTGTGAATGTGTATGTATAATGATTCTACTCTACATTGTCATACTATATAAATGATTAATATGAAGCTATAAATAAAAATGAAAAAAATCATTTCAACTTTGTCATTATGTCAGTACAGTGTAACAAAAAGCTTTCTTACTGTTCTCAAAGGTCTAATATAGGCTATATTGTAAACACAGCATGTTAGATGTGTCTAGAATAATGACCAGGTCTGTGGAAGACCCTAAAATGACTTCTGGCCTGTTTCACACACACTGCCTCAGCACTTCATGCTTACTTTTCATTTCAGTGCTCTTGTTAACAGGTCAAGCAGCCGCACACTAAATTCAGTGAAATAAACTATGAAGACAATTATGGCATATTATTTTATATTTCTTTATGATCTGGATGAGTCTGTCAAAAAAATCATCCAGAAGAACAGGGAGCTTCTGCCTCGACCATGGGAATGTGAGTATTGCCAATATCTCTCCACCATTTACAGTGTGAAGTTTTTAACACAGTCATAATGGAGATACATTTTCTTTTTGATCCTGGAACACAAAGAACTGAAGGTCTCAGAGGAAGGATCTGATGTTTCTCTCAAAGGCTCTTCCACATGTCTCTCCAAGGTCTAGGTGGGGGGCATGTCCTCTGGGCAGGGATAGCGCTGGAGTCAGATGAAGGAGATGTGACGGCTCGGCACGGTGATGATCTCAGCGCTATTAGAGACTGCACCGCTCAGAGACTGGGGGTGTGCGTGGATTGTGATGAACGGCAAGAGAAGTTCTACGATGTCTCGTTCTCTGGTCTCCTCCACTCGTTCTCTGGTCTTTTCAAACAGCCTGCCCCCCGGCTCTCGCGCCCGCCCCCCGGGCCCCGACCATGACGGCCGCGAGAGCCGGCAAGAAGGCGGGGCCCGAACACACAGCGGCGACGAACCTTGGCGAGGACAGCAGGGAGACAGCCGCGAGTGGTGAGGGGGCGGAGCGCAAAGCTCGCTGCTCCGCCTCCCCGTCACCGCCCCCAGCTTGCAGCGCAGCCGCCCGGGTAGAACGTAAGGTATCCTGAAGCGTCCTCGCTGCGGCACAGGGGGCGGGGCCCGGGAGGCGGAGATCGGGCTTTGCGCTCCGCCCCCTCCCCACTCGCGGCTCTCCCTGCTGTCCTCGCTAAAGTTCGTCCTGCCAGCTCTCGCGGCCCTCATCGTCGGGGCCCGGGGGGCGGGCGCATGCCACACAGCCATTATATCCTGCCCTCAGCAGATCCTTTATTGAAATAAGAATAATCAAAATAGCAACAAATGAAGACAACAAGTCTTGTTCTTAAGTTGCATTTAAAAACCTCTCAGATCTGATCTGCTAGTCAGAGGCATAGTCCCTAGGTGAATATGAATCAATTCAAACTGACTGTTCTACAGTTGCTTTCTAGCTAGAAACGCATCACTGTAGTAGAAAATACTTCACAGCTGCTTAATTAATTTGAAATAATGTTTAAAGTGAGCATATTTCTACTACATGGGTAACCGTATGAAGCCTAGGGCTGATATGTGTAGTAGATGGGGATTCTTTAAGAAACACAGAAGGTAAAGACAGAGCTTCAAAGAGAGCAGAGTGAGGAACAGCAAAGCAGTCCAGGAGCTGAACCAACAGCAGAATGAAATTAAACTAAAAAACATCAAAGTATTCTACAGCATAGAATATATATATAGTATCCAAACTATATGGATTACAAATTTCAATGAACATGAGGTGAAAAAAACAAAATGTGACCTTTTATTTCTGGATTTATTTCTAGCTTCATTTAAATAACCTAATAATATAATAATAATAATAATAATAATAATAATAATGAATTAAGTGGAAATTTGTAATATAAGCACAACCCCCTGCAGTCTTCACTGTAAATTTGAACTATTTATATGAAGAGTGGTGAAAGCACTGAGTTTTCTGTTAAAATGTAAAAACATTCAGACATCATTCTGAAATTCAGATGCATTCATCCATTGTGCTAAAGCTGTAGCGGACTTAACTACAATCAGTAAGTTTCGGAGCTAATGAGGTTCGTTTCGGAGCTGATGAGGTTTGTTTCAGAGCTAATTGGTTTCTTTTGGAAGTGACTGGGCCTTGTTTGAGCAAATATAATCTGTTTCGGTGCTGATGAGGTTTAGCTTTTTGAACAAAGTTTTTTTTTCTTTGAGGAATCATACAGTCATTAGGATGTCCATGTTACTTTATGGATACAGATTGCAAAGGCTAAAACCAGCAGTGCACAGGAGTCCATAATGTATAATAAAAATAACGTATAATAAAAAGAGTGCAGAGCAGTCAGAGGCTTCATGCCAGATGCTGCTGTGTGGGTTTCGGAGGCGTCAGCCGGTTAGACCTACTGCTGCACTAATTAAAAAAGAGCCACTGTAGTAAAATATCTTTTATTCACTGCTGTCCAACTGAATGTGTCATGGCTGTGTTTTTCACAGGCTGGTGAATGATAATGGAGTGAACTTGAATCCAGCTCCTTGGTAAAACTTGTTCTGAAATTCAATCCTGAAAAAAGACACAACACAGATAATAGAGTGGTCAACACACTTTACAGTCATGCGCGGGGATAGTTTAACACACTGCTACAACTAAGACCCCCACAGTAAACAATCGGAGAAGTCCACATCTCTCAGCATGCACATATTTTTATGCACAGATTTATGTCCTACAGATATTATCTGTAGGTAAATAAAATATAATTTATTGTGCTAATTTTTGCTGTTCTACTTTGTGTTCAAAAAGAAACTGAGTCTTTTCGCTAAGCATATTTATTTTGATGAATACATTTTATGGGTTTAGCTTGTGAAGCTTTAGTTCAAGCAACATAGATTTGTATTGTATTACATGTGTTTTACATTTATTTATCAGACTTTTTAGTGACTGTTCTCCCCTCTCAGTGATTCATGATGTGAGTTGTAACATTAGCACTTCTGCAACTTTTGACTGAACTGTTCACAAACAGTAGGAGCTGGAAACTTTGTAGCAGAGTAGGTTGCTTGTACAAAAAATCAGTCTTGCTCAAATACTTATTATACTTATTAAAATTATTAACTAAAAGCCAAATATGTTGTGCCCTGCTCTCTCCTACATGACATCCAGGAGATAATCTAATCTCCTTAATGAAATAAGGCAGTTTGTCTGTGTTTGCCATTGTGTATTTATTTTTACCAGTGCAGGTGCAAAGCATGCAGGAATGCAGAAAGCCTTCCATGACAATCAACACAGCGAATGTCAGCAGAGCAAAGCAGGAAAACACCAACACCAGCAGCAATGAGCCAAAACCAGGAGGGTACCTCAGAGCCCCCCGCAGTAGCATCCGCCATAACACCTCCGACAATTACAATAAAGTGTTGAATAAGAGTTTGGTATAGCATTAGGTCCATGAATATTTGGAGACTTTCAGCTTTAATATGAGGGTATTTACATCCAAATCGACAGTGGAACAATTATGGTAACAGTTTCTATGAATGTCACCTTTGTAAGCATCTATAAACACATTCATAACATGTTATAATGCATTCATAAGACATTATAAACATAGCTATAAATATTGATAAAAATGCATTATACATTATAGCCATGTTTATTATGCATTATGAATTGTTAACATAATACATTATAAGTACTGATCATAACAAATTATAAGAGCTCATAAGTTGTATTTATCCACTCTAAGTAAAGTGAAGCATACTCTACTAAAGCCACCTCCAGTGTTAAGAGTGAGGCTTCAAGTTGAAGCATTTACTGAAGGATTTACTGAAACACTAAAACACAATAAAGCACATTACAGGCTTCAAATGTCAGGGTTAATCTAGTGCTGCCATCAGTGTTTTACCCAGTGTGGGAAAGTCAATGTACACCACCGTTAGCTTGGTATTTGTCTTTACTTTATGCTCTCCAAGCTGGGACTGACTTCTTTGGCACTGACATTATAACATGTTATTAACCCTATTTATAATGCATTATATTAACAATGCATAATGTATAATAGACATGGCTATAAAATTTAATTCAGTGTAATTCTTTTTTATAAATATTTATAACCATGTTTATAATGCCTTATGAATACATTATAACATGTTATAAATGTGTTTATAGATGCTTACAAAGGTGACATTCATAGAAAATATTACCACAATTATTTCAGTAATACAATTACATAGCCCCTCAGATTTTTGTTCATATACGTTTTGTCTTTTTTTTGTTGTTTTTTTTTTGCATGCTGTTGTCCCAGATGGTCTCCATTCCTTTTATATACTGCAATAGAAACAACCATGTTTCTAATGCACATATTCTTCCACTCTCTCTCACTCTCTAGGGAATTCTCCCTAGAGTGGCAGTAGCTCCCCATTGTGGACAACCTTGCTAAACATGAGTGAGTGAGTATGTTAGTGAGTATGTGAGTGAGTGAGTTTCAAGCCAGGTCCACAAGGTGCATCTTAAAAACTCTATTTTGGACTCATATGACCACTAAACAAAATCCCACTGAAAGTTCCAGTAATGTCTGACAAACTGTGGTGCTTGAGTGTCTTGAGTTAGTCCTTGATAGCAGAGGCTTTCTTTGAGCAACCCTCCCAAGTAACTTGTGGTTTATGTAGGTGGTGTCTTATTGTAGTTTGGAGACATTCTGACTCCAGGACCAAACTAAAATCTGCAATTCCCCAGCTTTTTGGAGATTCCTTGGCTACTCAAACCACCATCCTCAATGTATGTGGGGTCAATATGGACCTACGTCCTCTTCTCAGGGAGGTTGGTAACATCCCTACTTGCTTTAAACTTCTTTATTATTGCCCTGATAGTGGACAAGGGCATTTAGCTATTTTCTTGCAGCTGTTTCCTGCTTTACACAGGACACTGTGCAAAATGTAAATGTAATGATGTGCAAATCATTTAACCCCTAAATTGTATTGAAAATAGTACAAAGACAACATAGCAAATGTTAAAACTGAGAAATTGTATTGTCTTTTGAAAAACATATGCTCATTTTGAATTTGATGCCAGCAACATGTTCCAAAAAAGTTGGGACGGGGGCAACAAAAGACTGGTACAGTTGTGTAATGCTACATTACAAACACCTGGTGGTTGATTGGCAACAGGTCAGCAACATGATTGGGTATAAAAAAGCATCCCAGAGAGGCTGAGACATTCAGAAGTAAAGATGAGGAGGGGTTCACCACTGTGTGGGCAAATAGTGCAACAATTCAAAAGTAACGTTTCTCAACATTAAATAGCACAGAACATTTGCTTTTCATTGTCTATGGTACATAATAACATGAAAAGATTCAGAGAATCTGGAGAAATCTCTGTATGCAAGGGACAAGGCCAAAAAACAGTTTTTACTGGCCATGATCTTCGGGCCCTCAGGTGGCACTGCATTAAAAAGAGACATGATTCTGTTAAGGAAATCACTGCATGAGCTCAGGAACACTTCTGAAAACCACTGTCTGTGAACACAGTTCGTCACTGCATCCACAAATGCAAGTTAAAACTCTAAAATGCACAGAAGAAACCATATATAAACAGAATCCGGAAACACTGCCGCCTTCTCTGGATCCGAGCTCACGTGAAATGGACAGAGGGGAAGTGGAAAAGTGTCCTGTGGTCTGACAAATCAACATTTGAAATTCTTTTTAGAAATCATGGACACTGTGTCCTCTGGGCTAAAGACCACTCAGCTTTTTATCAGTGCACAGTTCAAAAGCCAGTATTCATGATGGTATAGGGGTGCATTAGTGCACATGGCATGGGTAATGTGCACATCCGTGAAGGCACCAATAATGCCAAATGATATATACATGTTTTGGCACCATGTGCTGCCATCCAGACGACACCTTTTCAGGGAAAGCCTTGATTATTTCAGCAAGACGATGCCAAACCACATTCTGCATGTATTACAACAGCATTGCTCTGTGTTAAAAGAGTCCGGGTGCTAAACTGACCTGCCTGCAGTCCAGACCTGTCACCCACTGATAACATTTGGCACATTATGAAATGAAAAATACGACAAAGGAGACCTTGAACTGTTGAGCAGCTGAAATCCTGTATCAAACAAGAATGGGAAAACATTTTACTTTCAAAACTACAGCAATTGGTCTCATCAGTTCCCAAACGCTTACAGAGTGTTGTTAAAAGAAAAGGTGATGAAACACAGTAGTAAACATGCCCCATCCCAACTTTTTTGGAATGTGTTGTTGGCAGAAAATATCATCATTTGATATGTTGTCTTTGTAGTATTTTCCTTTAAAAATTTTAAATGATTTGCGTATCATTGCATTCTATTTTTATTTACGTTCTGAAAAGCGTCCCAACTTTTTGGGAAATGAGGTTGGATTTATTATTATATGAAAAAATCATTATATAGTGAGATGAATACACTATGATTTTATTTTTGCACTAATGCGTGTGAAGTAGCTGCTCCGTTCACTTGGTTTTCAATGCTGTGTTGCAGTTCAAAACCACCACTAGGTCACTGGGTAAGGCAGAACGTTCCTGTAATAGTTTAGTTTTTGATCAGGTGGAGTTTATTTGCGACATGGTTTTGGCAGAATGTCATGGAACAAGCAGCAGAAAAAAATCTCACTAGCTGTAGACTCCAGTTTTGCACGCCCATGTTTTGATGAAACATGACTAATTGAAAAACAATAGAAACGGCAGACATTTTCTGTTTCATTGTCAATGTTAAAATGGTTTCACACCACAAACATTTAAACTACTTTGTTATCACCTGAAAACACGTCTCACGTTGGATAATGTCAGTTTATGGCTCCTCTACAACAGAGGAGTAAACAAAGTGTAAAACAGAAACAAAGGATTGTAACTAGATCAGGCTTGTTTTAGTAAAGGCCTCATCTGTTAAAATATATCTGGCCATTCTTAACTTTAATACGTCTAATGGTAAGAAATAAGACATCAGACATTTTATGACATTACATTATCAATTTTATGACTTTATAGGACTTAAAAATAAAGTATAGCAAAGAACAGTGTAGTATAGTGCACGTTGTACAGAATTCTTTTCCTGTTCGGGCTTCAGTTTAATCCAATGAACATTTGACTTCTTAGTTCAACTGAATCCCTGAAAATAGGTGATACAAGACATTTTCACAATACATGATATACATCACAATACTTAGCTTTTCTAAAATTTTAGAAGCTGGAAAAGACAAAATAGAACCCAAAGTGCCATATTTAAAAAAATACAACAACACCAGCAAAAATACTACTACTACTACTACCAATATTACTACTACTACTGCTACTAATAAGAATAATAATAATAATAAACCTACTACAATCATTTTCATTCGGTGTTTTACAAACTATGCTGAACTAAATCTATTTCTAAATCTATTTAAACTAATTTAACAGGCCTAACTGTACTCACTTTGTAATAAAACATTAGTTAGTTTAATGTTTTCTTTAAGTACTGATGATACCCACAATATGCTCAGAGAAGTGTACTGTGACATAATTTATCACAACAGCAATAAAATATCATGACATTGCCTACCACTACCTGAAAATGTCATGAAAGGAGTCTGATTTCAGAATTTAACTCAGCACAAACCCAAATCCAACCTGATATCTTTAAAAACACACTTAAGAACACAGAGATGCTAAAACATCCAGTATTTTGGGTTACATATCACAGTTTCAGATTCTGAAAATTCATTCTTGTCATATAATGACTGATGATAGCGGCGCTAATTATTTCTTTTTAGGCTCTTTCTTCAAGTCTTCAGGAAAAAATGCACACTGACAACTAAGCATTATGTATTTTTGTGAAGAAAGAAAGAAAGAAAGAAAGAAAGAAAGAAAGAAAGAAAGAAAGAAAGAAAGAAAAAGGTTCTCTGGAAAACTCTGACTTCATAAACTCTCAAACTTTTTATGACTCTGCACTTAAGTTATCTTTCATAACTATGCAACATTATGCATTACTTTCATAACTGTTAATGAATAATTCATAGCTGTTACACAATAACAGGTCTTATGATCAAATGCCTGAATAATAAGGCGGCAGTTTAAGAGGCTAAAGCTCATTCTTTATTCAGTTTCGTGTCAGTTTATTCAAAAAGTCCGGAAGTGGCATGTTTTTTAAAGCAGGCGGGAAGCAGCTGTGATGCAGTTAAACTGGTTTGGTGTCATCCAGGTGGAACAAAAAATGTCTGGGAAAGATGTTTTTCACTGAGTTATGAAGAAACTGGCGTACCTCATTAGGCTGATTCCCCTTCTTATTAGGTGCGGCGGCCTGCAGGAAGTGGCAGAATACATTAAAACATGTTACACGCCTACTGGTAAAATCTGCCTCAACGGAATCTTCACATGATTTCCATTCATTAACACTATTCCTCAGAAGTGGCTGAACTGAAAAGGAGTGACTATGATGACTCACACACTGAAACAAACAGCTTTTGACCTACTTTATTTAAACAGAATCAACACATTACTGTCTTCCAGTTTAACTGCAACTGCAATTCCAAAAAAGTTGAAATGCTGTGTAAAATGTAAATAAATGTAAATAAAAACAGAATGCAATGATTTGCAAATCTCATAGACCCATATTTTATTCACAATAGAACATAGAACATATATCAGATGCTGCAAGTGAGACATTTTACCATTTCATAAAAAAATATTAATTTATTTAGAACTTGATGGCAGCAACACATCTCAAAAAAGTTGGGACAGGGCCATGTCTACCATTGTGTAGCACCCCCTCTTCAACAGTCTGTAAATGTCTGGGAACTGAGAAAGCATATGCTGAAGTTTTGGGAGAGGAATGTTGTCCCATTGGTGCTTGATGTAGGATTCTAGCTGCTCAACAGTCCTGGGACTTTTTCATTTCATGATGCCAAATGTTTTCTACTGGTGAAAGGTCTGGACTGCAGGCAGGCCAGTTCAGCACCCGGACTCTTCTGCAAAGCCATGCTGTTGTGATGGATGCAGTATGTGGTTCAGCATTGTCTTGCTGAAATATGCAAGGTCTTCCCTGAAAGAGCCTGGATGGGAGCATATCTCTGCTGTCGGAAGAAAACCTCGTATTTCCACTTTTGTTGTTTTTCAGTCTTTGACATAATTTGAAAATACCTGTTACCCATTACATTGTGTGTTAATTTCATGATGAATGGACCAAAAGAAACGGCCCAAAATAACTTGGAAGAAATTCTGCTCCCATTGACTTACATTAAAAGTAAAGTAGGTTTTTTCCTTTTCCTGTAAAGTTACCATTTTGGAGATTTTGGAGGTTTTCTTCCGACAACAGCGATATGTTGTTCTAAAATACTGTTCAGCATTGATAGTGCCTTTCCAGATGTGTAAGCTGCCCATGCCATAGGCACTAATGCAATCCCATACCAACAGAGATGCAGGCTTTTGAACTGTACGCTGATAACAAGCTAGATGGTCCCTCTCCTCTTAAGTGTGCTGGACACGGCGTCTGTGGTTTCCAAAAAGAATTTCAAATTTTGATTAATCTGACCACAGAACAGTTTTCCATTTTGCCTCAATCCATTTTTAATGAGCTTGGGCCCAGAGAAGACGGCGGCGTTTCTGGATTGTGTTGACATATGGCTTCTGCTTTGCATGATACAGCTTTAACTTGCATTTGTGGATTACACGCCAAACTGTGTTCACAGACAACACTTTCTTAGATGCAGTTTTTCACAGATGAATCTTTGCTTCTGAGAGACACTGCCTCTCTAAAATGGTCTTTTTATACCCAGTCATGAGATTTAGTTGCAAATTGCTCCTACAGCTGTTTTTACTAGTGCCACTTACTTTTCCAGCATTTTGTTGCCCTGTCCCAACTTTTTTGAGATGCACTGCTGCCATCGAGTTCTCAACATCTGTGTTTTATGTTCCATTGTAAATAAAATATGAGTCTATGAGATTTGCAAATCATTGCAATCTGTTTTTATTTACATTTTACAACTTTTTCAACTTTTTTGGAATTGGGGTTGTACTTCAATTTTTTTGTGGATGGACAATATCTGAATCAATATTTTTCTCTCATGTGGCTAACAGTATTTTGAGATGGTACAACATCACCACTGAGACTTTTCTAGCAAGTTTTTCACAACCTGTCATGCACACACTTCAGCGCACCTGCTGCTAGAGTTCAACTCTGTGTCTGTAAATGAGCAGCGGTTTTATCAGCAGCATCACTGGAACCATGAGGATAGCCTGGAGAACTAGAAACACCTGCAGCGCTTTCTGGAAAACAGACACAGTTTTACTTATTAATAAATGAACAGCGTAACAATAAGTAGTGTATTATATGATTTATTAATGAATAATACTTTAATAAAAGTTTAGGCCTGTTACTGTTATTACAGAATCGTCTAATCATCTAATCAATTGTTTGTCATGATCGCAGTTATTTAAACTGACTGCAATCATCTCCCACAGTCAATAGATCTCATATTATGCTGCAACAAAAAAAATGTGAATTGGGTGTGTTGGGTTGAGGCAAACAAATGTACATAAAAGAAAGCAGTAAATGAGACATCACTGGACATATGAAAACGAAAAACAACTTCTAATTTGCTGCTTTAACATGTTTAGAGGGCAGCAATCAGTAATGTTTGTTTATTTAACTGCTTTAGCATGTATGCTAACAGAATGAATACTTATATTTTCACTCTTGCAAAGAATGTGTTGCTTTGCTTAACTCATATAATCCTGCATACACATAATCCTGTATAACTGTAGACAATTTTTGACAGCACAGTCAGCATTAGCTAATAAGTAAACCTAGCTAAGGTGGCTAATTAGCTAATATGGACCCTTTAGGCTTGAACTGTAATTAGGGATGTATCAATACTGATACTGGTATCAAGTATTAGGCCGATTCCCTGCTCATGTATTTGTGAGTACTCATACTCCTAAAAATTCACTGATACCAACATTCTGATACCCACCGATACTGTGTGACATAAGCTGAGCGTACACTGCTGCGCTAACGAACCAATTCAGTGAAGGTGGCTCTGTTCACACAGAGAATATAGATGGAGACATGGAGGCAGAAACAAGTCAACATTTGCTTCCAAAGTCTGTATAAGCCAAACTTTACTCTGTTTGACTGAGTGACGTGTTAATACAGTGATTTTTTGTAAAATAGGCTGTAGACAGACCGTACTGTCCTACCGTGTATATCACTGCCTGCTTTTAGCTTCAGTGCTCAGTGTTAGCAACGCTCCTCAGATTCTCTTTGCTCAGTACTTGGTGCGCAGCATGTTATTTTGAATGAAAAAGCTATTCTTGAAATTGTTCATAGACAGAGCCATCTTTCTGTAAGAGCTGTGTTTCGCATAGCATGTCAATCAGACAGAACCTGTTCACACAGTCTGAGCATATAAACCACAGGCTTTGTCTGTACATGATGGACTATTCGAATGTACAGTGTGACTCACCAAAAAACAAGATTTCTAAAATCTCACAGTGTATGTCTGGCTTTAGAGGATATTAACTCCACCAGCCAAACAAAAGATTCTGAGAAGACATAAAACTCCACAAGTGAGCTCCTTGCATGTGATTCCTGCTATCACTGTGCTACGGAGACTGTTGAAAGAGACAGACGAGGAGCAAAACTATAAATCGTACTTTACTTACAGCTGTACAGAAGCACTTTTCAGATAGATTTTAATGATTTTATTTTTAAGGTACATTGCACTCATTTACATTAATAACTACTTAATTCTAAGCAGGTTACTCAGTTTGGTATCGGCAACTACTATAAAATATGTACTCGTACTTGGTCTGAAAAAGTGGCAACGATGCATCCTTATATTTTATATTACCTAATTTATAAGTGGTCTAATAGTGTAATAATAATAATAGTAATAATAATAAGTGCTTTACTGGACATATAAATAAACTAACAGTGTAATAATAGTAATAATTAGTATATGATCTGATGTATAAACGAACTAATAGATTATACTTAGTATATAGTGTGAAGGGAGTAAAACCTGTACATTTATCATCGGTTTGGTAGCTGAAGAGCATCACATTAATGAAGATCAGGAGGATGCTGGGAGCTGTTTCTGACCGCAGCTTCACCAGTTTAACACAACATTATTCATAATAACTGAAATGAAAACATACAAGTAGTTCACCAAACTGAGGGCCATCCCAAAGAGCATATGACTGACCCCCAAAATCACAGACATCTTCATCTTATATGAACTCAGGAAGGAAAGCTTATTCGACGCTATATTCCACACCTAGAATCGAACAGAAATAATGAAGTTAAATAATGAAAGCAACATTGACATAAACAAGGCAAATTTGACCACAGTATCTCCATCTAGTGGACACACAGCAAAACAGCAACACACTATATGGGTCAAAGAGCTGCTTTCCTGTAACTGTGAACAACAGGATGAATTACAGTCAGCTGGTTTATTATTTATTGTCCAGTTTGGCTGTAAAGAAATCAGAATCTGAATCTGTCATTAAAATTCATGATCAGTGCATCACTAGCATCCAACTATTGAGAGCAAAAAGACAAAGAAAACTAACACAAACATATAAATGTGCTGAGGACAGAATATTGAACTACATTACACTACTGAATAATTCAATACAAAAGCAATATAACGTAGTTTCAATTATCAGGTGAGTTTGTGTTGTAGTGGAGTGTAAACTGACCGGGTCAATGCCGAACATGTACGGAGAGCCAGAGTAAACTCCAGGGACCTCAGGGTCCAGATGGAGATGACCAAAAGCATGCGGAGTTTTATTGCTGTAAAAAAGCACAAATTAATTAGACATAGATATAAAAGATAGACAGTACTCAACAACAGAGAACAGTTGGTTATGCAACAGGTCAATAAACTTTAGTTATTCTTTGCTATTTCTTTGTTGTTCATGAATGCTTTCATAAACAGTACAGACGGTGTTGGCGTGCTTTCAGGGACTTTCCTTTCTGCTGTTTTGCTGTATTCTGCGTATCAAGTTGTGTTGTCAGGTGCTATCAAACCTGTAGTGGCGAAGTTTCAGTTTCTTGATGTTACATATGAACAGAGATTATAAATCTTGTATCTAATGTTCATCATAGAAACCGTGAAATAGTTCCATAAGTTTCACTGTTGCTCTGCTTTGATGCATCCCTAATTATTTTTGGACCATTCAAAATTACGTTTAATAGCGCACTGAATATACAAATGTAAGTGGAGAAACTATTTACACAGCAGATAGTAAATATAGTACTATAGTACCATAGTATAGTAAATACAAACAATACAAACTTTACACCACTTTACATTCTTACCTTTAAAAATAGCTGAGAATTTTATTGGGTTCAAAAAATAAAAACACTTCATGAACATTATTTAAATGGATCAGAATTAATTGATCAAATTGTATCTATCTTCAAACGTATTTTTACAACCTATTTTTCTCTTTTCGCTCTCAGTGTATTAGATGTATGAGCATGTGTGTGTGTTTGTGCTGACCTCCAGGGTCTGCTGGGCTGGAACATGTGCTGGACACGCCACGATGTGCAACGAATACTAAAGGATTTGGAGAAACAGTCGTTATAGATCAGGCCAGTGTAAATGGAGAACAGGCCCTGTTCAGTCTCTGTCTGTGTTTGTAATGTGCTGTGAGTCCTTGTTGGTATAAATGCATGAGCTGTTTTACATGTTTACATCACAAGGAGCACAAACACAACTCAAACAAACGGATGAAGAGAGGAAAAAAGTAGAAAAATAGACATTTCAGTCAAATTTGATATATATGAATTTTTACTGTATTGTAGAGTGTTCAAGAAATGTTTTGGCATGTTAGTTTTGGGTTATGCATTCTCATGCATTTATTGCACTTGATTCATTTTTCTGTGGGCTCTTATTGTAGAGGGTGGAGCTAGGAACTGCCCCAGGGGTGTGTGTATATGTGTGTGTGAACAGAGAGAGTGAGAGACGTGAGCTGGTTAGAGAGCGAGCAGTTAGAGAAAAACTCTGCTTATGTACGGTGTGGCTGTGGCCAACAACAGCTGGAAAATAAAGCACCACGAGTTGTGTGAAAGCAGTGTCTTTCTTAATAGCGGTGAGTGCTACAGTATTACTCCAATAATATTTGATGAATAAAAATAAGTTTTATTTATCATTCATTTTATTTGTTGATCATTATTTACTAAAACTAAGGCTGGATCTCAAAAGGCTCCCTCCTCCCTGTGTAGTGCACTCTTAAGGTCAAGAAATAATGGATTCTACACTCAAATAGCACAATAAATGTCCAACAGGAGACTATTTATATTTAGCCATAAGATATGTATGACTATCTATTTAATATTTAGTTCACTATTAGGGTGTAGAAGCTATAGTTTCATGACCAATGCAGTGCACTATATAGGGAGTTGGTAAAATAACAGCTTTTTATGCTGTCCAATTTAATTGTGTGGTCCACTACACAGTACAGTGTAGCAGAGGAATATAATGTAGGACAGAATATAGTGCTGTGTAGTAGGGCGTGGTATTATAATAAAGTGTTGAATAATAGTTTAGTATAGCGGTAGGTCCATGAATATTTGGAGACTTTCAGCTTTAGTTTGAGGGTATTTACAGCCAAATCGAGAGTAGGACAATTATTACAGTAATATTTTGCTGAATTTTGTTGTGTATATATATATATATATATATATATACACATACACACACATACATACAAACATGTTGTGTATTTTCATATCTTTATCTTCATGTTGTTGTCTCCATTCCTTTTATATAGTACATTAGAAACAACCATGTATTTCTCTCTTTTTCGGCTCACTAGGAATCCCGGAATTCTCCCTAGAGTGGCAGTAACTCCCCATTGTGGACAACCTAGTTAAACATAAGTGAGTGAGTATGTAAGTGAGTATGTGAGTGAGTGAGTTACCAGACCACTAAACAAGATCCCACTGAAAGTTCCAGTAACATCTGACAAACTGTAGGAACTTGAGTTTGTTGAGCCGGTCCTTGATAGCACAGGCTTTCTTTGAGCAACCCTCCTAGACAACTTGTGGTTTATTAAATATATTCTTATTTATTTAAATAAGAATAATCAAAAAAGAGCAAATTTTGTTCTTAAGTTTCATTAAAATACCTCTCAGATCTGATCCACTAGTCAGAGGCATATTCACTAAGTGAACATGAATCAATTCAAACTGATTCTTCTACAGTTGCTTTCTAGCTAGAAACGCATCACTGTAGTAGGAAATACTTCACAGCTGCTTAATTAATATGATATAATGTTTAAAGTGAGCATATTTCTACTACATGGGTAACCGTATGAAGCCTTGGGCTGATATGTGTAGTAGATGGGGATTCTTTAAGAAACACAGAAGTTAAAGACAGAGCTTCAAAGAGAGCAGAGTGAGGAACAGTAAAGCAGTCCAGGAGCTGAACCAACAGCAGAATGAAATTAAACACAAAAAACAGCAAAGTATTTAAACTACATGGATTATTGATGAAAAGATAAACATGATGTGAAAGTACAAAAGGTGACCTTTTATTTCTAGATTTATTTCTAGCTTCATTTAAAAAACCTCTGCACATAATTCTCTCTGTTTACTCTGTTTAAGTCTTGAACCAGCACAGAAATAAAACCACACCTTGAAAGCTGCAGTTTGGAAGTACAAACGAAGCTTTATTAATAAAAATTCAGAAAACAGCAACAACAACAACAACAATAATAATAATAATAATAATAATAATAATGAATTAAGTGGAAATTCATAATATAAGCACAACCTCCTGCAGTCTTCAATGTAAATTTGAACTATTTGTATGAAGAGTAGTGAAAGCACTGAGTTTTCTGTTAAAATGTAAAAACATTTAGACATCATTCTGAAATTCAGATGCATTCATCCATTGTGCTAAAGCTGTAGCGGACTTAACTACAATCAATAAGCTGGCATGGCCTTGTTTTGTTTCGGAGCTGATGAGGTTTGTGTCAGAGCTGATGTTTGTTTCAGAGGTGAGGAGGTTTGTTTTTGTTTTAATTGATTGAGTGACTGGGCCTTGTTTGAGCAAATAAAATCTGCTTTTTGAACAAAGTTTCTTTTATTGGAGGAATCAAACAGTCATTAGGACGTCTATGTTGCTTTATGGATACAGATTCCAAAGGGTAAAACCAGCAGTGCACAGGAGTCCATAACGTATAAAAAATAATGTATAATAAAAAGAGTGCAGAGCAGTCAGAGGCTTCATGCCAGATGCTGCTGTGTGGGGGTCTGCGGTTTGACTCACTGCTGCCCTAATAAAAAAAGAGTCAGTGTAGTAAAATATCTTTTACTCACTGCTGTCTTCTGGATCATGTGTCATGGCTGTGTTTTTCACAGGCTGGTGAATGATAACGGAGTGAACTTGAATCCAGCTCCCTGGTAAAACTTGTTCTGAAATTCAATCCTGAAAAAGACACAACACAGATAATAGAATGGTCACTGTAACGTTATGTGCAGGGATAGTTTAACACACTGTTACAACTAAGACCCCCAAAGTAAACAACTGGAGAACTCATCTCTCTGCATGCACATATTTTTTATGCACAGATTCATGTACTACAGATATTATCTGTAGGTAAATCTCATCTGTCAATAAAATATGTTATAGTCTTTTCGCTAATCATATTTATTTTGATGAATACATTTTTATGGGTTTAGCTTGTGAAGCTTTAGTTCAAGCAACATAGATTTGTATTGCATTACATGTGTTTTAAATTCATTTATCAGACTTTTTAGTGACTGTTCTCCCCTCTCAGTAATTCATGATGTGAGTTACAAAATTAGCACTCCTGCAACTTTTTTTAAGTGAACTGTTCACAAACAGTAGGAGATTTGTAGCAGAGTAGGTTGCTTGTACAAAAAAATCAGTCTTGCTCCAATACTTATTATTCTTATTAAAATTATTAACTAAAAGCCAAATATGTTGTGCCCTGCTCTCTCCTACATGACATCCAGGAGATAATCTAATTTCCTTAATGAAATAAGGCAGTTTGTATGAATATCACTACACTAAAGAGGCACAGTTCATTTATTTTTACCAGTACAGGTGCAAAGCATGCAGGAATGCAGAAAGCCCCTCCATGACAAACAACACAAATGTCAGCAGAGCAAAACAGGAAAACACCAACGCCAGCAGCAATGAGCCAAAACCGGGAGGGCATCTCAGAGCCCCCCGCAGTAGCATCTGCCATAACACCTCCGACAACTCTGCACAAACACAAATACAGATGCATCTAGAACAGAAAGTTCTAAGGCAACTCTTCATAAAGATGCCAGAATGTAACTCCAGCACCATTTAAAGTGGAACATAAAATTCAAATAAGAAGCTGGAGAACAGGAAGCCAACTTCAGCTTTGTGCCTCAAACCATGTCGAGTTATACATAGTTCAAACTATGAGACTAATGTAGCAAACAAGTAACTTATGTACACCAATTCACATGGTGCTAACTGCATGGCTAAGCCATCACACAGTGGGGGACTCAGCTGTATGTGCAAGGTCGCAGGTAAGAGGCCGTGTTGGAGATGCAGCCCAGACAGTGCTCGATAGTGTGGATGGCCTGATATGCAAAAATATCACCCATGCTAAACTGAAGAAAAAAGGAATATTTTATTTTAAAGTAACTACACTGACTATTATACTAGATGATGATTTCACCGACATCTAAAAGGATACGAAAGGAAATGCAGTTTGAGGGGAAAAGCCGATCAAATGCTGAAATACCTGTCTGGTTTTCAGTAAGCTTTCATTAGAGTGTAATATATAATAAAATAGCATAAAACAGTGTAGTACAGAACAGCGTGGTGTAATTTTGTAGCATATTACAGCACAGTACAGCACAATATAGTGTAGCATAGTACAGCAGTGTAGTGGAGTGTACAGTATACTGCAGAGTGTGGTAAAATAACAGCTTTTTATCACTGCTGTCCAATTTAATTGTGTGGACCACCACACAGTACAGTGTAGCAGAGGAATATCATGTAGGACAATATAATACAGGGCTGTGTAGTACAGTGTGGTATTATAATAAAGTTTTGAGTAATAGTTTAGTATAGCATTAGGTCCATGAATATTTGGAGACTTTCAGCTTTAATATGAGGGTATTTACATCCAAATCGACATTAGGACAATTATTTCAGTAATACAATTACATAGCCCCTCAAATTTTTGTTCATATATGTATTTTTGTTTCTTTGCATGCTGTTGTCCCAGATGGTCTCCATTCCTTTTATATAGTGCATTAGAAACAAATTCGCATATATTCTTCCATTCTTTCTTACTCTCTAGGGAATTCTCCCTAGAGTGGCAGTAGCTCCCCATTGTGGACAACCTTGTTAAACGTGAGTGAGTGAGTATGTCAGTGAGTATGTGAGTGAGTGAGTTACAAGCCGGGTCCATAAGGTGCATCCAAAAAGCTCTATTTTGGACTCATCTGACCACTAAACAAAATCCCACTGAAAGTTCCAGTAACGTCTGACAAACTGTGGTGCTTGAGTGTCTCGAATTGGTCCTTGATAGCAGAGGCTTTCTTTGAGCAACCCTCCCAAACAGCTTGTGGTTTATGTAGGTGGTGTCTTATTGTAGTTTGAAGACATTCTGACTCCAGGACCAAACTAAAGTCTGCAATTTCCCAGCTTTTTGGAGATTCCTTGGCCACACTGAAAACATTTAGTGCGTTATGAAATGAAAAATACGACAAAGGAGACCCAGAACTGTTGAGCAGCTGAAATATTGTATCAAACAAGAATGGGAAAACATTTTACTTTCAAAACAGCAATTACAGCAATTGGTCTCATCAGTTCCCAAACGCTTACAGATTGTTGTTAAAAGAAAAGGTGATGAAACACAGTAGTAAACATGCCCCGTCACAACTTTTCTGGGACATGTTGTTGGCAAAAAACAATAAAATTTCTCAGTATTTCCGTTTAAAATATGGTTTAAATGATTTGCACATCACTGCATTCTATTTTTATTTACATTCTGCAAAGCGTCCCAACTTTTTTGGAAATGAGGTTGGATTTATTATTATGTGAAAAAATCATTATATAGTGAGATGAATACACTATGATTTTATTTTTGCACTAATGCGTGTGAAGTAGCTGCTCTGTTCACTTGGTTTTCAATGCTCTGTTTCTGCTTATACCAGTTTAAACCACAACTAGGTCACTGGGTAAGGCAGAACGTTCCTGTAATAGTTTAGTTTTTGATCAGGTAGAGTTTATTTTCAAAGCGTAAAACAGAAACAAAGGATTGTAACTAGATCAGGCTTATTTTAGTTGAGACCTGATCCATTAAAATATACCTGGCCATTCTTAACCTTAATACGTCTAATTGTAAGAAATAAGACATCAGACATTTTATGACATTACATTATCTATTATATGTGTTTATAGGACTTTTCTGTGGAAACCCTAAAATAAAGTATAGCAAAGAACAGTGTAGTATAGTGCACGTTGTACAGAATTCTGTTCCTGTTTGGGCTTCAGCTTAATCCAATGAATGTTTGACTTCTTAGCTCAACTGAATCCCTGAAAATAAGGGTTGAAGACATTGCAAAAATATTACCACGATACACAAGACATTTTCACAACATACGATATATATCACAATATTTAGCTTTTCTAAAATTTGGAAAAGACAAAATAGAACCCGAAGTGCCATATTTAAAAAAATATATAACAACAACACCAACAAAAATACTACTACTACTACTACTACTACTACTAATAATAATAATAATAATAAGCCTACTACAGTCATTTTTATTTAGTGTTTTACAAACTATGCTGCACTAAATCTAATTAAACAGGCTGTACTCACTTTGTAATAAAACATGGAGTTAATTAGTTTTCTTTAAGTACTGATGACTTTCACAATATGCTCAGAGAAGCGTATTGTGACATAATTTTTCACGACAGCAATAAAATATCATGACATTGCCTAAAATGTCATGAAAGGAGTCTGATTTCAGAATTTAACTCGGCACAAACCCAAATCCAACCTGATATCTTTAAAAACACGCTTAAGAACACAGAGATGCTAAAACATCCAGTATTTTGGGTTACATCTCACAGTTTCAGATTCTGAAAATTCATTCTTGTCATATAATGACTGATGATAGTGGCGCTAATTATTTCTTTTTAGGCTCTTCAAATCTTTAGGAAAAATACACACTGAGCAACTGAGCATTATGTATGTGAAGAAAGAAAGAAATAAATAAAGAAAGAAAGAAAGAAAGAAAAAGAAAGTAAGAAAGAGAAAGAAAGAAAGAAAGAAAGAAAGAAAGAAAGAAAGAAAGAAAGAAAGAAAAAGAAAACGGTTCTCTGGAAAACTCTAACTTCATAAACTCTCAAACTTTTTATGACTCTGCACTTAAGTTATCTTTCATAACTATGCAACATTATGCATTACTTTCATAACTGTTAATGAATAATTCATAGCTGTTACACAACAACAGGTCTTATCATCAAATGCCTGAATAATAAGGCGGCAGTTTAAGAGGCTAAAGCTCATTCTTTATTCAGTTTCGTGTCAGTTTATTCAAAAAGTCCGGAAGTGGCATGTTTTTTAAAGCAGGCGGGAAGCAGCTGTGATGCAGTTAAACTGGTTTGGTGTCATCCAGGTGGAACAACAAAATGTCTGGGAAAGATGTTTTTCACTGAGTTATGAAGAAACTGGCGTACCTCATTAGGCTGATTCCCCTTCTTATTAGGTGCGGCGGCCTGCAGGAAGTGGCAGAATACATTAAAACATGTTACACGCCTACTGGTAAAATCTGCCTCAACGGAATCTTCACATGATTTCCATTCATTAACACTATTCCTCAGAAGTGGCTGAACTGAAAAGGAGTGACTATGATGACTCACACACTGAAACAAACAGCTTTTGACCTACTTTATTTAAACAGAATCAACACATTACCGTCTTCCAGTTTAACTGCAACTGCAATTCCAAAAAAGTTGAAATGCTGTGTAAAATGTAAATAAATGTAAATAAAAACAGAATGCAATGATTTGCAAATCTCATAGACCCATATTTTATTCACAATAGAACATAGAACACATATCAGATGCTGCAAGTGAGACATTTTACCATTTCATAAAAAAATATTAATTTATTTAGAACTTGATGGCAGCAACACATCTCAAAAAAGTTGGGACAGGGCCATGTCTACCATTGTGTAGCACCCCCTCTTCAACAGTCTGTAAATGTCTGGGAACTGAGAAAGCATATGCTGAAGTTTTGGGAGAGGAATGTTGTCCCATTGGTGCTTGATGTAGGATTCTAGCTGCTCAACAGTCCTGGGTCTTTTTCATTTCATGATGCCAAATGTTTTCTACTGGTGAAAGGTCTGGACTGCAGGCAGGCCAGTTCAGCACCCGGACTCTTCTTCTGTGAAGCCATACTGTTGTGATGGATGCAGTATGTGGTTCAGCATTGTCTTGCTGAAATATGCAAGGTCTTCCCTGAAAGAGCCTGGATGGGAGCATATCTCTGCTGTCGGAAGAAAACCTCGTATTTCCACTTTTGTTGTTTTTCAGTCTTTGACATAATTTGAAAATACCTGTTACCCATTACATTGTGTGTTAATTTCATGATGAATGGACCAAAAGAAACGGCCCAAAATAACTTTGCTCCCACTGACTTACATTAAAAGTAAAGTAGATATTTTCCTTTTCCTGTAAAGTTACCATTTTGGAGATTTTGGAGGTTTTCTTCCGACAACAGCGATATGTTGTTCTAAAATACTGTTCAGCATTGATAGTGCCTTTCCAGATGTGTAAGCTGCCCATGCCATAGGCACTAATGCAGGCTTTTGAACTGTACGCTGATAACAAGCTGAATGGTCCCTCTCCTCTTAAGTGTGCTGGACACGGCGTCTGTAGTTTCCAAAAAGAATTTCAAATTTTGATTAATCTGACCACAGAACAGTTTTCTATTTTGCCTCAGTCCATTTTAAATGAGCTTTGGCCCAGAGAAGACGGCAGCGTTTCTGGATTGTGTTGACATATGGCTTCTTCTTTGCATGATACAGCTTTAACTTGCATTTGTGGATTACACGCCAAACTGTGTTCACAGACAACACTTTCTGGAAGTGTTCCTGAGCCCATGCAGTCACTTCCAGTACAGAATCATGTCTGTTTATAATGCAGTGCCGCGTGAGGGCCCGAATATCACAAGCATCCAATATTGTCTGTCGGCCTTGTCCCTTGTGTGCAGGGATTTCTCCAGATTCTCTGAATCACTGTAGATGTAGATGGAATATCCAAAGTCTTCACAATTTTATGTTGAGGAACATTTTTCTGAAATTGTTCCATAATTTTTAGATGCAGTTTTTCACAGATTGGTGAACCTCTGCCCATCTTTGCTTCTGAGAGACTCTCTAAAATGGTCTTTTTATACCCAGTCATGAGATTTAGTTGCAAATTGCTTCTCCAGCTGTTTTTATTAGTGCCACTTACTTTTCCAGCATTTTGTTGCCCTGTCCTAAATTTTTTGAGATACACTGCTGCCATCAAGTTCTAAATGAGTTAATGTTTTTTCATGAAATGGTTAAATGTCTCACTTTTAACATCTGATATGTGTTCTATGTTCCATTGTAAATAAAAAATGAGTCTATGAGACTGGGGCAGTCGTGGGCTGGAGGTTAGGGAACCAGCCTTGTGACCGGAAGGTCGCCGGTTCGATCCCCCCAGCTGACAGTACGTGACTGAAGTGCCCTTGAGCAAGGCACCTAACCCCCAACTGCTCCCTGGGTGCTGTGGATAGGGCTGCCCATCGCCCCCCAGTGTGCGTGTGTTCACTAGTGTGTATGTGGTGTTTGACTGCACGGATGGGTTAAATGTGGAAGTCTAATTCCGATGTGTTCAGACACAGTTGACTAAAAGGTTCATTTCATTTGTAAATCATTGCATTCTGTTTTTATTTACATTTATTTACATTTAGCGTTTCAACATTTTTGGAATTGGGGTTGTACTTCAATTTTTTTGTGGATGGACAATATCTGAATCAATATTTTTCTCTCATGTGGCTAACAGTATTTTGAGATGGTACAACATCACCACTGAGACTTTTCTAGCAAGTTTTTCACAACCTGTCATGCACACACTTCAGCGCACCTGCTGCTGGAGTTCAACTCTGTGTCTGTAAATGAGCAGCGGTTTTATCAGCAGCATCACTGGAACCATGAGGATAGCCTGGAGAACTAGAAACATCTGGAGCGCTTTCTGGAAAACAGACACAGTTTTACTTATTAATAAATTAATAGTGTAACAATAAGTAGTGTATTATATGATTTATTAATGAATAATACTTTAATAAAAGTTTATTATTTGATTTATAACTTAACTAGGAGTTAGGCCTGTTACAGTTATTACAGAATCGTCTAATCATCTAATCAATTGTTTGTCATGATCGCAGTTATTTAAACTGACTGCAATCATCTCCCACAGTCAATAGATCTCATATTATGCTGCAACAAAAAAAATGTGAATTGGGTGTGTTGGGTTGAGGCAAACAAATGTACATAAAAGAAAGCAGTAAATGAGACATCACTGGACATATGAAAACGAAAAACAACTTCTAATTTGCTGCTTTAACATGTTTAGAGGGCAGCCATCAGTAATGTTTGTTTATTTAACTGCTTTAGCATGTATGCTAACAGAATGAATACTTATATTTTCACTCTTGCAAAGAATGTGTTGCTTTGCTTAACTCATATAATCCTGCATACACATAATCCTGTATAACTGTAGACAATTTTTGACAGCACAGTCAGCATTAGCTAATAAGTAAACCTAGCTAAGGTGGCTAATTAGCTAATATGGACCCTTTAGGCTTGAACTGTAATTAGGGATGTATCAATACTGATACTGGTATCAAGTATTAGGCCGATTCCCTGCTCATGTATTTGTGAGTACTCATACTCCTAAAAATTCACTGATACCAACATTCTGATACCCACCGATACGGTGTGACATAAGCTGAGCGTACACTGCTGCGCTAATGAACCAATTCAGTGAAGGTGGCTCTGTTCACACAGAGAATATAGATGGAGACATGGAGGCAGAAACAAGTCAACATTTGCTTCCAAAGTCTGTATAAGCCAAACTTTACTCTGTTTGACTGAGTGACGTGTTAATACAGTGATTTTTTGTAAAATAGGCTGTAGACAGACCGTACTGTCCTACCGTGTATATCACTGCCTGCTTTTAGCTTCAGTGCTCAGTGTTAGCAACGCTCCTCAGATTCTCTTTGCTCAGTACTTGGTGCGCAGCATGTTATTTTGAATGAAAAAGCTATACTTGAAATTGTTCATAGACAGAGCCATCTTTCTGTAAGAGCTGTGTTTCGCATAGCATGTCAATCAGACAGAACCTGTTCACACAGTCTGAGCATATAAACCACAGGCTTTGTTTGTACATGATGGACTATTCGAATGTACAGTGTGGCTCACCAAAAAACAAGATTTCTAAAATCGCACAGGTTACTCAGTTTGGTATCGGCGACTACTATAAAATATGTACTCGTACTTGGTCTGAAAAAATGGTAACGATGCATCCTTAGTTTTAATAGTTGCAAACAATGAACAAGAAAAAACAAATAAATTGTTAATCATAACTATTCAAATGACAATTTAGCATCAGCTAAAATTTCATAATCGTGACAGCCCTATTAATGGTAACAATAATCCACATATTACCTAATTTATAAGTGAACTAATAGTGTAATAATAATAATAATGATAATAAGTGCTTTACTGGAACTAACAGTGTAATAATAATAATAATAATAATAAGTGCTTTACTGGACATGTAAATAAACTAACAGTGTAATAATAATTAGTATATGATCTGATGTATAAATGAACTAATAGTTTATACTTAGTGTATAGTATGAAGGGAGTAAAACCTGTCCGTTGTATAGGAATTTATCATCGGTTTGGTAGCTGAAGAGCATCATATTAATGAAGATCAGGAGGATGCTGGGAGCTGTTTCTGCCCGCAGCCGGACAGTCCATTTAAAGAGGATGAGGAAGAGCAGGTATCCGAAAAGAGAAAGCATGAAGACCAGCTCTGGGACAAACCGCAGCAGGACATTCTGGACATTTCTGAAATGCCTTTAAAAGAAACAAAGTAACAGTGAATTACTTTAAAAATCTCTCAATTGTAAAACTTCACCAGTTTAACACAACATTATTCATAATAACTGAAATGAAAACATACAAGTAGTTCACCAAACTGAGGGCCATCCCAAAGAGCATATGACTGACCCCCAAAATCACAGACATCTTCATCTTATATGAATTCAGGAAGGAAAGCTTATTCGACGCTATATTCCACACCTGTAAATGAAAATAAAAATACACTGGTAAAACAGAAATAATGAAGTTATATGGAACAAGGCAAATTTGACTGGAGTATCTCCATCTAGTGGGCACACAGCAAAACAGCAACACAGCAAGTGGTCCAGCTCTATGTGGGTCAAAAAGCTGCTTTCCTGTAACTGTGTACAACAGGGTGAACGATTGCTCTAAACACACAGTCATCTGGTTTATTATTTATTGTTTTTATTTTGCCAGATCTGTGTTGCAGGTTTAGAAGGTATTTAAGAGCAGGAAAGAGCAACCGTGCTGTATTTGAAAGCTACTGCTACACCTGAATCTGAACCGAAACATCACAGCTTTACATGGAGCTCTTTATTATAATCATGTTATTTAAATTGGCAAATCATTGACCATTTAAGAATTCACAATATCACTTTGGCTCATTAAAGAGTTAATATTGTTAATTATTGTGACAGGACTAAAGTTGTGAAAATGTGTTAGTGTGCTACATGTGTTCATTTACCCCACACAGTGACAGCTTAATAAAAAAAAAAAGTCCAGTTTGGCTGTAAAGAAATCAGAATCAAACATATAAATGTGCTGAGGACAGAATATTGAACTACAACATTACACTACTGAATAATTCAATACAAAAGCAATATAACGTAGTTTTATTTATCAGGTGAGTTTGTGTTGTAGTGGAGTGTAAACTGACCGGGTCAATGCCGAACATGTACGGAGAGCCAGAGTAAACTCCAGGGACCTCAGGGTCCAGATGGAGATGACCAAAAGCATGCAGAGTTTTATTGCTGTAAAAAAGCACAAATTAATTAGACGTAGATATAAAAGATAGACAGTACTCAACAACAGAGAACAGTTGGTTATCCAGGTCAATAAACTCCATTATTTTTAGTTATTCTTTGTTATTTCTTTGTAGTTTATGAATGCTTTCATAAACAGTACAGATGGTGTTGCCGTGCTCACAGGGACATTCCTTTCTGCTTCTGTTGTTTTGCTGTATTCTGCGTATCAAGTTGTGTTGTCAGGTGCTATCAAACCTGTAGTGGAGAAGTTCTTCAGTGTCTTAATGTTATGTATGAACAGAGATTATAAATCTTGTATCTAATGTTCATCATAGAAACCGTGAAATAGTTCCATATGGCCAAAATATTCACTGTTGCTCTGCTTCGATGCATCCCTAATTATTTTTGGACCATTCAAAATTATGTTTAATAGTGCACTGAATACACAAATGTAAGTGGAGAAACTATTTACACAGTAGATAATAGTAAATATAAACAATACAAACTTTACACCACTTTTCATTCATATCTTTAAAAATAGCTGAGAATGTTATTGGGTTCAAAAAAATAAAAACACACTTTATGAATATTATTTAAATGGATTGATCAAATTGTATCTTCAAATGTGTTTTTACAGCCTATTTTTCTCTTTTTGCTCTCAGTGTATTAGTTGTATGAGCATGTGTGTGTGTTTGTGCTGACCTCCAGGGTCCACTGGGCTGGAACATGTGCCGGACACTCCACGACGAGCGACAAATGCGGAAAGATTTGGAGAAACAGTCGTTATAGATCAGGCCAGTGTAAATGGAGAACAGGCCCATCAGCAGGATGATGAAGCGTCCACCAACCAGAACATCCACAAACTGGAGGAAAATAAAAAGTTTTACTGCAGAATCAGAGCCCAAAGCTGTAAAAAAACAACACCAGTAAACACTCGCACCAGCAGAACAGATCATAAATGCACAGTTCCATTTACTCAGTTCCAAGTCTCTCAGAAAAGGTTTGATAGATTTGTGCTTTCCTGAGTATTTTCAAATGCTAACTTTTAATTGACCTTCTTTTTCCTCAGTTTTATTTTTGTCATTAACGTTTAGTTCCTAATGCACTTTTTGGTGTTAATTTCATTCAGCTCTTGAACTGCTTTACTGTTACTTACAACTCTAACTTTGAGCTTTAGCATTTTATTTTAGACCACAGTGATGCAATAGAAGAGTCTGACAAACTTTAGTTGCTATGCTAATAGACGCTAGATGAACTAAGGAGTTCCTGAAAATGAAAACAGACCATTTGATTTTTGTTGACCCTGAGGTTAAAGTGTTCACTGTCACCACCCAGTGGACAAAACCTGCATTGGGAAACTTTAAGTTTGAGATGATGTTTACTGCAAGTGATGAATGATAAATAATAATGGGCTGTTTTTTATACCCTACAATAATCTTCTGAACACCTTCTGTACCTCACTCTTCCACCGGCTCAGCTGCTCCTGCTGCTTTATCACCCAAATTGCCAGCAGTGTCAGAATAAGCCCATGTCCACAATCTCCAAACATCACCGCAAACAGGAAGGGGAAGGTTATTATGGTGTAGGGCGCTGAAACATAATACACATTAAGAATTTTAACCATCTGAATCAATCATAGGCCAAGTTCACACCTGGTACTAACATTTGTCTCAAGTGACTGGATTGTCTGAAAATAAGTGGATCAGATTAGTCTCCAGTGACCACTTACGATCTGATTTGGTATATGGAGGAAGGACACCACCCACATTTACAGTATCAGTCTCTGTCTGTGTTTGTAATGTGCTGTGAGTCCTTGTTGGTATAAATGCATGAGCTGTTTTACATGTTTACATCACAAGGAGCACAAACACAACTCAAACAAACGGATGAGGAGAGGAAAAAGTAGAAATAGGCATTTCAGTCAAATTTGATATATATGAATTTTTACTGTATTGTAGAGTGTTCAAGAAATGTTTTGGCATGTTAGTTTTGGGTTATGCATTCTCATGCATTTATTGCACTTGATTCATTTTTCTGTGGGCTCTTTTGTAGAGGGTGGAGCTAGGAACTGCCCCAGGGGTGTGTGTATATGTGTGTGTGAACAGAGAGAGTGAGAGACGTGAGCTGGTTAGAGAGCGAGCAGTTAGAGAAAAACTCTGCTTATGTACGGTGTGGCTGTGGCCAACAACAGCTGGAAAATAAAGCACCACGAGTTGTGTGAAAGCAGTGTCTTTCTTAATAGCGGTGAGTGCTACAGTATTACTCCAATAATATTTGATGAATAAAAATAAGTTTTATTTATCATTCATTTTATTTGTTGTTGATTATTTACTAAAACTAAGGCTGGATCTTAAAAGGCTCCCTCCTCCCTGTGTAGTGCACTCTTAAGGTCAAGAAATAATGGATTCTACACCCAAATAGCACAATAAATGTCCAACAGAAGACTATTTATATTTAGCCATAAGCTGTATGACTATCTAACTAACATTTAGTTCACTATTTGGGTGCAGAAGCTATAGTTTCATGACCAATGCAGTGCACTATATAGGGAGTAGAAAGCAGTTTGAGATTCAGCATAAGAGACCAGCGTCAGCTGCAGAACCAGGATAAACATCGGTGTCACATTTTCCAACTGGAAGCCCTCATGAAGAACAGAGTACTTCAGAGTGATGCAAAAGTTGCTTATTTTCTGCTGGAAAGGTAGGACTTATTTGTTGTCAGGCATTTTTGACGTGACTAAAAATTTACACCATTTATTTTTTTTAAAGTAATATGCGTCAACAGTATTTTGGTGCTAGCATACAAGCTACAAATATGCCTGCTACATACCGAGTGAACACATTCAATCTAAAAAAAATCTAAAAAGATTTGGCAGCACTTAGCATTCATGTAATGCTTGGTCTTAATTAGGAGGAGTAAATAATTCACTAAGTCGTGTTGCCATCAATCTCACACTTTCTCAGTAACATCAACTTTAACTGCAAATGACAGCAAAGACAGAGAGTGACTTACATTTGAAGTCAGAAATATCTCTACCAGTTAAACCATAACCATAAACTGCTTATGACAACAGCCATGTCAGTTACTGACTACACAGAATCTCAAAACAAGCCTTATAGTTACCAGTAATTTACCTCTGACAACTTTTGAACAACGCTGATAACGCAGCCGCTGACTTTCGTTCTACTAATAATTGAGGAGAGGGCGACTGCCCCTCCACAACACCAGGGGCAGTATAAACCCTCCCTATCACTCACGCCGATAGGTGTCAGTATACAGTTCCAAGTCCACTGCCATAGTGGTTGTTTCATATAAGGCAAATGTATTGCTCCTTTCAGATCAGGTCAGAGCCAGTTTATGAGGAGCCTGGCCACTTCCTATTTTCCTCTTATATCCAAAACAGGACTGTAAAATGCTAAAAATGAAAAGTTAAAATAGTTTATAATAACTTGAATATTGCATTTCTTTTAATTTTAGAAAGTAGAAATATGTATTTCACTAAAAAAGCAAAGAAGACATACCTGTATATGTCCTTTTTTCTACAGCAAAGGATTTGGGCAACAGGACACTAGCATTACGTTTTACAACAAACTCCTACAGCTCGAACTCAAAAGCTCTCAAAAATATTACAGAGGTGTTAAAATGTTTTATGCCGTTCTTTGTTCAGGAAATTCATGTATTATTTCATTTTTAAAATGTTTAAGCATTTATAAACTATGATTTTGTTTAAATGCGGCATCTTAACCCATTCATCTTTGACTCGCTCGGGAGCGTCCTCTAGCGTTTCAGAAACCCAGAAGACATTACAGTAAAGTGGTAATCTTTTTATCAGGGAGTAAGTCATAATATTAAGTTGAGTCTGTAAAATTAACATTAAAAACACAACGCTATACTACTACGCTATAGAAATGATATGCACATGCTCAGTAGGACCACTCGATGGGTAGGACAAATTGTTAGAACCGGTCACCCTAGATGTGTGTTAATGCCAGGTGTGAACAGGGCCATAAATGAATTATTACAGATTCTTCCAATGAAAAAATATAAAAAATAAACCTGGATTGATCTCACGGTAGTTGCTGACTCCATAAGCATCAACTATGGTCTGGAATCCTTTAGTAAACTCATTGGTCCTGTTGAAGGTTGGGGGAATTTGCTGGGTTTGGATCCGATTCAGGACCGGACTAACAGTGGAACCGCTTTGCTCCTACACACACACACACACACACACACACACACACACACAGGGTTTCCAAAGTTTTTGTTTAGGAGGGTCTAAGTGCAATATTTGTCCAAAAACAATACATAAATAAATATACAGAAGGTTTTGTTACACTAATAATTTATTACTAAATGTTTCAAAAATAGGATTTGAATAAGATATCTATAATATAAACATATTATTAAAGTAACTTTTTGGCAGGTTACAATGAAACATCCTCAGAGGCCAACTTCTTGCAGCCCTGCTCTACAGGTAATCTGTCATAAATGTAAATAATAAGAGAGTGATGTAAGATATATAGAGTATTAGACTATATATAATCAGTTGTACTCACTGAGCCCTTGATCAGAGCGTTCTGGACAGAGTTTAAATCTGAAACTGGACACCAGATCTCCGCGACTATCAGCTTCTGGGTGATATCTATGTTACACAGGTTGAGTGTGTAATAGATGGCTTTCATTTTCTTCACTTTAGTGACCCACTGGTGAATACTGGCAGCTGTTTTGGTTAAAACTGTGACTTTAAATTCCTCTGTTCTCCTCAGAACCTGCAGAGCCACAGCAGAAAAAAAAATCACAATCAGTTATACTCATTTACAGCTGCTTATCTGGAACAATACATTGTAAACTGCTGCTTTATCCATTTGCTTCTGTGATGATATATTATCTGTGGTGGACCAAGGGCAAATAAAAATTGCAGCAGATAAGTGGGTTATGAAGGCATCATATACTATGTTGCCAAAAGTATGTGGACATCCAAGCATTTAATCCAAGTATGTTCCAAAATCAAGGGTATTAATAAAGAGTTTATCCCCCTTTGCTGGAGTAACAGCCTCTAATGTTGTGGGAAAGTTTTACCCTAGATATTGGAACATTGGTGTGAGGATTTTATTGCATTCAACCTCAAGAGCATTAGGGAGGTCGGGTAGTGATGTTGGGCATGTTATGAAATTCTAACCTACTCATTTGAGCTCGATATTGAACTGTTATATCTGTTACCTAGCAACAGATGATACACACACAACACAGCTGAAACGTGAAAATGTAATCAAAATAACATAAAAATAAGTTCATTAGCTAGACAACTTACTTAAATTCAAAACTAAAGTGTGATAAACTAGAGGTTTGAAGCAATGATAACAATCATGTGAGTGCGCCCCCCCGGCAGTTTGACAATGTGGGCCTGCTCTGTGCTAACGTTATTCTTCTAATAAACAGCCACATGTTCAACTCTCCTCCTTATTTACCGCCATAGGTGTAATATTTTGTTTGGCCAATTTTCATTAGCATTAAAAGGTACAGGTAACGAGAGGGAATGGAGAAGAATGACTGTGATTGTTTTAACCACAGAGTCAATATTAAACATCACTCTTATAAGTAAAACCACTGTTTTCCAATATGAACAAATGTAACACCATTATGCTTGTTATTGTTAATGTTACTGAGCCTGTTGTGATGCCCATAACAGTTTTCTAAAAACACTAACACTGGGCCTCATTCACCAACCGTTTTTACAAGACATTTCTTCCTAAAACCCACTTATGCACAAAGATTCTGACATGCACCAATGATTTCTTATTTGGTATTAGTTCTTAGGTAAAAACTGAATCTGCGCACACTCAAGAGCACAAAGGTGCGAACAATTCTGTGGTTTGAGAATACATCATGAATCTGACATGGACTTTTTCTTAGGACCTTCTTCAAGAACAAATTTAAGAAAAAACTTAGGAGAATATTGGTGAATGAGGCCCATTATTTTCAGTAAAATAACAAATGGTTCAATAAGAAGGTTGAAACAGAAGTTAAGACACTGTTGGGCTTTATTTTAAAGTTAGAACAGCATTTAGGAACTTTTGTTTAGTTAGGATGTTTCTGTAATACTATTTTCTTATCTGGAGTTTGGATAAGATATAAACCTAGGAACTCAATCTGGTAACGGTCCTTTCCTCTATTAACAATATCATATCTAACATCTGGTCACACAAATAATCTGCATTTATACTATACATCACCCTTGCAGATGAAATTCCCCACCACACATCATGCAGATGAAAGCATGTGGTGGGGAATTTGATAAATTTGATGGAAAAACTCTGCTAGCCTCACTAAGGAGGGTGGTGGAAAAGCTGGAAGTGTGAAAATGATCATTAAAATAATATATATGCAAAGGCTGTGATCAGTATTAAATCATCAATAAATGTGTGTAAATTGTTTTACCATTCGCAGGTCTTCGATTCGAGCGTGTACGTTCAGCCTCATCTCCTCTCGTGCGTGGAGGGTGTTGGGACATGGGTACAGATTAGCACGAAAACTATAAAGGGACAAATATAACACACTTTTATGTATTCATACAAATGGAACACGTGCAGAAATAGAACAGACAGTATGTACAAATGAAGGATTTAACTGGAACTGATTTCCTGGAACAGCAGCCGTGATGTAAAGCAACATCAACTGAACATTATGATGTATTCACAAACTATTCAGCACCATTTCTGATATTTATTTTACTCACCCGTTGCAGATTTTTTTTATTTTTCCCTGCACTTGATCTCCTTGGACAAAAATAACAAACGCATCTTTCTTCATCCTTCTGTCCTGTAAAAGCAAAACATTTCTGAAGAGATTTCAGTTGAAAGGACCTGAATATATTTTCACTGAAACATTGTGACAGTAACACTTGTGCTGCCTGTGTGAAAGGTGTTCTATGAACAAGGTGTATTATTATTATTATTATTATTATTATTATTATCATTATTGAACCCTTGATGTAATACTTGCTGGTGTAAAGTGAATGGACGTATTATTCATTAGTTTTTATCCAACCACGATGTTCACATGCTCTTTATTAAACTATATAAATAAACACAGGCCTTTATACTGACTGTGATGCAGAGAAATGTGCATTGCTGAAAGAGCAGAACGATGTCAGATTCTCAGATTAGAAAAGTGCAAAGTATATCATAGGTTGAGTTACAGAGAGATTCTCTTTGACCTCCGTCTGCTGCTCAGTATCCTGAATTTCTGCATGACGCAGAATAAAGTTTTCATGAAAAAGACGCCATAGGACTTTCTCAAAGGCAGGAAATCGATCCTGCTTAATGACTCCAGCGATAAACCTGAGAGTGAGCAACAGAGGAGAGAGACAGAAGCAAGAAGAAAAAAGAAGAAAACAAGGAAAAAGAAAAAGAGAAAAAAATCAGAGAAAACTGTTTGTTCAGGCCTTAAATTAAACTTAATTTACAGCATATTGCAGACACTCTTATGCAGACAGACAGTGTACTGATGTTTCAGAGGGAATCAAATGCAGAGTCAAGAGTTTTTTTCCCAAGGAAGGCAAAAACACTAGCATTACTGACTAAGCAGGGATTTAAACCTCAAGCTCCAGCATACAAGACTGTAACATTACCCACTATGGTGTGTAATTCAGCTGTAATTTTACTTAAAGGGCCCAAATTATGGAAAACCAAAACCGTTTTAAGCAGAAGCTGTTTTGAATTTACTGTTTATAACACAGTGCACCAATCAGATTAGTTTTCATTTACATATATCAATCTGAAAGGCACAGTAACAAAAACAGCCTGATAAATTCTAAAGGATTTTATTATATAAAATTTATATATATATATGTGTGTGTGTGTGTGTGTGTGTGTGTGTGTGTGTGTGTATACATTGTGTTTCATTGGTGGAATTTTCAGAGCTGTGGTAATGTTGTATCTGTGACCTAGCTCTGTTGCTGGCTAAGACTGAGGCCATATAAAACACAGCTAGTATACACGTCAATAAAGAGGGCACAAGCACAAAAGGGCAGGGGCTCAAGCACCCTCCCATCCCCCCAGGTCTATTGGTACACGTGCTTGTATCTGTTCATGATTTATGGGCCCAAAAGCCTGCAGCTCTTCTCATATTGACAGTGCTTCTGTGGCCAGTCAATATGTGTGGGACAATGGGGTTGAGAGAGAGTTGGTTTACGCGAGTTTCTGTGGTCCATTGGTGCTGATGCTGCTGTTCCTGCGGCTGAGGGTACGGGATGAAGCTGCTATAGAGACAGAATCTTCAGATGGAAGCTCAGAACAGGACAACTGGGACTCCGCCTAAAGTTACACCAGTAAACACACACACACTGAATAAGACTGTGCTTTCTGCTGTACTGCGCCATTAACACTGCAACAATCAGGCCTGGCTGTAGTCTTCTGGGGGCCTTAAGCAGGAGTTTTCCCCATCTTGCTAGCTGAGATACTGTAAAATTAGAGGCTTACTAAAACAATGACTACCACAAACTGTCTGAATACGGCTAATTTGTTGACCGCTGATGAACAGATGCTCATTTGGGGTTCTAATAAGTTACAGCTTGAACAGATTTTCTCAGGGTTCTTGATCCAGGGATCTGTCTCATGACTCAGTATTTCTTTCTTACTCAGCTAACTTTAAGATAAGTTGGATCTAACCCTGGTGGCAGTGGCGACATTGTTGCTTGTTCATCTTGCTTTCTACAAATTTAGGCAGTGTGATTTCTTTTTCCTTGTTTGGTGACTCCTTCTCATGTTTCACACAATTGGTTATCATAAGTCACGCTTTCATGTGCACATACACAAGGATTGATCTAAATCTGGATTAAGAGAGAAAGTCATTAACCACTGCTGTGAAATGAGTTAACTATAGCTGTATTTGTTTTTTTAATTGGCTGGTTGAACTGTAACATAATGGGAATCAGCTAGACAGTGTAACGGTAAAAGTTAACCCTACTATTATCTTTGGGGTCAATTTGACCCTATTCAGTGTTTCACAGCTTAAAAAAATGAGATTTTTTTAATATATATTTAATGATTTTTTGTAATTTAATGGGGACAACTGGGTGAGCATAAACATAACATGATGATATGTTTTCAACATACTACACCTTTTGTTTACATTGGCATTCTTTGGGGTTAATTTGAGCCCAGTCTGATTTAAAAAAAAATATCAACATTTTATACATGTTTGATTTGGTTCTTCTAGGTGATATGATAACATGAAATTTTATAATCTTCATAAAAACTTCCCACTGTTGTAGGGCCTTAAACACTTCACCCACATGAACTCACTTTAAAACTCTACATATTCTGTTGAGAAATACAAGCACATCAAAGGGGAATTTCACAGATTTTTCAAACTATAATTCAATGGTTGGAGGTAAAAAAAAGTCATTCAGAATGGTTTGGTGTGAATATGTTCATTGTAGTGACTCAGATTTCCTCCACAATGAATGGAGTTAAAAATATGTTTTACACCAAAGCTTCTTAAAACTACTGTTAAACGATGTCTCAGACATCAGACAGCATAAATATTATAATTTCATGTAATAACTTTCTGTGAGGGAGCTTTTAGAAGGTGAACATATGGTTCCTGTTCAAGTCTGTGAACAATTCTGACAATAAGTTTCTCGAGAATGAAGCGTTTCACACCAAACCACTATGAATGACTTTGTTTACATCTGAACCATTTAATTATGCAAATATTTTTAAAAATGGGTGTATTTTTCCTGTATGGACACTACATTGTCTTAACACATCTGCTTTGAGTGTGTGTACATGTACCTCCTCAAAGAAGTCTGTGGAGACCTTGAGCAGAGATCTGATCTCCAGCAGTTCAGTAAAGTTTCGCTTTAAAACATCATGGTTCCCGTTGATCTCTTTCAGCTCCTCCTCCAGCTTCTTAATTTTACACTGTAGTTTACATAAACAAACAAAATAAATACATTACATGAACAAACAAAACAATCACCAGACATGGAAAACTATTTACAATCAAGATTTGCTGACAGATTATTACACAAATTAATCAGAAATCTAGTCAGCTGTACAGACAAAATTATTCTAACCACAAAGATCATATAAATTTTATAAACTCCCAGAGAAAGAGAATTATATGTGGAAATCTTCTTTAATGCTACAGTGTCTTAGTGTACTGCTGTAAAGAAAAAGGACGCAGGATGCAAATGTGAGTTTTATTATTGCTGTAATGACAAAAGAGGAATCCGAGAGATATCAAACAACTGCACTAAGAAAAATAAACTAGGAAAAAACTAGGAAACCAGAACTACAACTGAAAACCCCCCTTTGAACAACTTCTACATACAATATCAAAGTCTTTTCATATAAGTGAGAAAGTTTATTGTTTCTGTCATATGGGCAGATATATGAGTTATTTCCACGTACGCACTGAATTAGCATACTCAGAGAAGCAGAATATTGTCAAATATTATATTTTGGTATGGATAATCCGTGAGAGTGTTCTCACCTCTAGTTCTAGCAGCTCTCGTGGGCAAGAGACCCCCCCACTGTCTACCACCGCTGAGACCGGAATATTGCTCCGAGTGATTTCAGCTTCAAGAAATCCTAAAACATAAAAAGCACCAGAATATATTGAATATTTCTCATTGTGAGATTGCTGTAGGAATATTATGAGATTATTCAACCTATTTTTAGATGTTTTTACTTTTACTTTTAATTATTTTATCTACTAAATTATCCTATTCCTTTGGCAGATACATTTGTTTGAGAAATTATACCTAATAAAATCACTTTATAATCTGCTCTGCAGGTAAACCTTTTGACCACTGGTGCTAGGCATGTAGCAAGTGTTGGAGCACATATTAAAATATTGTAGCACTGAGAAACACATCTGTAATACTATATGTAAAAGTATTAATCCCAATAAGTGGAATAACTTGTCATTTTAACTGTGGAAAAAAAACAGGTGGATCATGTCAAAGGGAACATGCCATAGCAACACCTTAGCAACCACCTGGGATCCCACAGCAATGCCCTTAACACCCCCCTCAGAGACCACTGCAACACCTTAGCATCCACATGGGATTCCATAGCAATAACCTGGCAACACCTTGGGATTTCATAGCAATGGCTTTGTCAACCCAGCTTAAAGTGGTTTAATATGTTAGTTTTAACTTAATCAGTTATTTCTAAAGAAAGAATTTTGGGCTGACTTGCTTTTTTCAGCAGGAAAAGGGTAAAATCCTAAATCATTACATGACTTTACATATTAACTTTACATATCACTACATATTTTATCTTAACATGCCAAGATAGTATTGTTTGCAGTGTAGATGTGAACTGATCAGACTTACGAAGGATTCGTTCCATCTCTTCACATTTCCTCACCTCCTTCACAAACCTTCTCTGAAAAGCTGCTGCACCTGGATTCAACTGAGATACAAATATTCACATTTCAAACAAAACAAAACAAAGTATTAACATTAACTCCTGCCATATCAGCTCATACTGGGAACTGTGGAGTCAAAAAATGGGCTGAAGTGCATTAGCATAGCTAAAAACAATAGCAGCCACCTGGAAGCCTTATTTGGTTCATGTTTATAGATAACAGTATGTCTTACTGTGACTGAAACCAAATAATCAAGTCACATGGTTTGAGGCACAAAGCTTAAGTTGGCTTCCCATTAAGCAGCTTCTTATTCAAACTTTCCATTCCAACTTCAACAGTGCAGCGTTTAAGGTGGAGTACAACCTTCGAATAAGAAACAGCCAAATACAAAGCCAGACACACTAACATGTTTGAGGCACCATGTTAATTGGTGGGGTGTATGATTACATAGCTGCACGAACCTCGTAGCTCCAGAGCTAAAATTAAAGAAGCAAACTTCAAACACAAAACATGTCTTGGCTGAATGGCTACATTTGTTAAAAGAGAGTAAAGTGTTAAAATTAGTTTTTCATCAAATGATCACTTAAATAACCTTTTTTTTTACATACTGAAACTGATAAAGGAGCTACATTAACCACAAATATGAATCAAACAAGTCTGCTCAGGTGTGTACTCACGTCTCTGAACTGGACGAGTCCCAGCAGGCCGAGCTCGTTAATGCAGGTGTGAGCAGATTCAGTCTGGAAGAAAAGCTGCACCAGACACATCTCCTCACTGCGAAACATCCTGCAGACTTCAGCTTTAACCTGCCAAAATTGAGTTAAAACCTCCAAAGAGTAAAACCGTACTCCTCCTGCTGCACACAGCCGCTCGCTCTGACTTTTCATTTCAGTCAATCACTTTATTAACTGTCTGCTGGGCGAGCAATCGATTGAGTGCTTTTGGCCCAGAAGTCAATACTGACCCCACCGCTGGACCAGGAGAAGCACAAGCTCAGCTGTGGCACATATGCAAATTTATATGGTAATAATAATAATTACAGTTATTATTCTTCTTATTATTATTATTATTTCATCTCTAACTGTGTGCATCAGTCAGTCTCTTTCACTCTATTTTACTACTGTGTGTAAATGTTATTACTTTTACTACAGATGGTGAATAGAGATGTACAGTGTGAGAAAAATGAGTTTTAAGAACATTAAAACATGTTAATCTTTTCTAGACCTCAAAAATAAAAATATGAATATTGAAAATGAGCATGATGGGTCCCCTTTAATGTGTCAGATCGAGTGTAAGATTTACTGATGTTGCAGCTTTTCTGCTCACCAATAAAGATGATCTTACAGTAAGAGAATTAAAAAGGGCTTATTATGTCACACATATAAAAGTAGCACCGCACAGAACTTTTTCAAGAATTAAAGTAACTCAAAGCAGCAGGATAAAGAAACACCACAGCAGTTGTGTATAGAATATTATAGGCTCTTATGCAACTTGTGTTGCTAGCTTCACAAAGGAATAGGGAGTATGTCTTTACACAATTTAACAGGATATACATTTAAAAAGTAGTAATATCCATTGAGATATTCAACCTTACCTCACTGATTCTCAGGTTGCAGATTGTAACTTTAGAGCAGATAACGAAGTCAACTAGTAAGGCAGCAGAAAGGGTAAAGCATTTTTCTTCCCTGACAAAACGTAGACCAGTCACAGTTAATGCCACTCAGCAGCCTGTCAGCCACAGCAGTCAAAGATTATAGTAAAGTTCAAGCCAACAGTATTGCTATTATGTCTAGGAGTGTTTATGTACCGTGCACAGCTCAGCTGATCGGACGTAAATGCCTAGTTTCATGTGTTGCCACCGGGGTTTAAACACAGATGCTTTTTAATACAGGGGCCCAAGTCAGCATCATTGGGAGATACTGTTTGAAGACTAACTAGCCAGATGTGGAGATCAAGCCTCTTGACGGTTTGCTCTCTGAACCCGATATGTGATTGCAGCAAGAGGCTCAAATATTCCATTTGATGACTGGATAGATGTGTTCCTTGAAAGTATAAATCAAGGTTGAATAACCATTTAAGATCCTTATTTAGTCTCCCACAGCTGTTTCGACTGCCCACTGCTTTGAGCCTTGAATGGTAGAGCTGATTCGGGAGACCTGTAAAACACCCGACACCCTTATTTTAGGCTCTTTATTGAGTAAAGCCTTGAATGTAAGTGAGCATGCTGATAAAACAATTGTCTCTGTTGTTCAAAAACAACCCATGGAAGAAAAGCCATTTTCTGCACCATTGAAGTGGGGTAGAAAGGTCTTACCAGCTGGTCAGGTTTGTGAAGTAAAACGCAAAATAAGGGCCTGGTCTGCAGGGGGGCTATGTTCTTTGAGCTAGCTACAGTGCCCTCCACAAATATTGGTGTCCCTGGTAATCAAGAGCAAAATGAGCTGTAAAAAATATTCTTAATTACTTGTCCTTTTGATCTTTACTTCAAAATATTAGCAAAAATCTAACCTTTTTTTAAGGTATAATGATTGAAACAAAAAATTAAATCTTGTCATGAATTAATTTTTCTTAAATCTATGTGTGCCACAATTGTTGGCACCCCTATGAATTCTTAAGAGTGAAATCTAACTGAAGTATATTCCCACTCAGATTTTATGTTTTTAAGTTCACCTCAGTAATTAGTAACACTTGAATGGTGCTCTGATATTCTATTTCACTAAGGAATATACACCGATCAGGCACAACATTATGACCACCTCCTTGTTTCTACACTCATTGTCCATTTTATCAGCTCCACTTACTATATGTGTATGTTGTGCTGGTACGAGTGGATCAGACAGAGCAGTGCTGCTGGAGTTTTTAAACACTGTGTCCACTCACTGTCCACTCTATTAGACACTCCTACCTTGGCAGTCCACCTTGTAGATGTTAAGTCAGAGACGACAGCTCATCTGCTGCTGCACAGTTTGTGTTGGTCATCCTCTAGTCCTTCATCAGCGGTCACAGGAAGCTGCCCACAGGACGCTGTTGGCTGGATATTTTTGGTTGGTGGACTATTCTTAGTCCAGCAGTGACACTGAGGCGTTTAAAAACTCCAGCGGTACTGCTGTGTCTGACCCACTCAGACCAGCACAACACACACTAACACACCACCACCACATCAGTGTTACTGCAGTGCTGAGAATGATCCACCACCCAAATAGTAACTGCTCTGTGAGGGTCCTGTGGGGGTCCTGACCATTGAAAAACAGGGTAAAAGGGGGCTAACAAAGTATGCAGAGAAACAGATGGACTACAGTCTGTAATTGTAGAACTACAAAGTGCACCTATATAGTAAGTGGAGCTGATAAAATGGACAATGAGCGTAGAAACAAGGAGGTGGTCATAATGTTATGGTGTATATGAGATGAAACACAGGCCAAATTCCCTCTGTCATCCATCACCATGAGAAAGATCACAGAATACAGCAAGGATGTGTGACAAAAGGTTGAGCTGCAAAATCAGGAAACAGCTACAAGAAAATAGCTAAACAGTTAAAAATGCCCATTTTCACTGTCAGGGCAATAATTAAACAGTTTAAAACAACTGCAAATTTTAAGAATCTGCTGGGAAGAGGAGCCATGTCTATACTGACTCCACGCACTGTGAAGAGGATAGTCAGAGTGGACAAAGAATCTCCAAGGATCTCAGATGGGGACATTGCAGAAATTAGTTAGGTCAAAACATCATCAAAACTACAATCAGACACCACCTGTATAACAAGTTGTTTGGGAGGTTGCCAGAAGAAAGCCTCTGCTGTCAAGGACCACCAAACTCAAGCTCCTACAGTTTGCCAAACGTTACTGGAACTTTCAGTGGGACTGTGTTCTATGGTCAGATGAGACCCAAGTTGAGGTTTTAGGCAACAAGCACCAGGGGTGAGTACGTAACGTGTACACAAAGATAGCCATGCACTGCCTTTAGCACCCTGTGGAGCCTATTCCAGTGGGTCTAGATTCCATTTGGTTTAAGTAATGCACCGGCAGCGATTCAAGGATGCATAGAAGGTGACCTGGAAGGTTTGCGGAATGCTGTTCAGTGCACAGTGCTGTTGTGACAAGGCTTGTTGAAAAGCTGACCAACCCGCCTATTCCCAGACTTTAATCTGTCCTGTGTCTTGCATACAAATACGTCTAAAGAAGGGCAGCTGTTTATCAACATCAGCAAGGTAAACTTTGTGTAATCGGTTATGGATCTAGGACCCTCATGACTGCTGAGAAAAATTACCATCTGCACTTTGGCAAGCTGGGCTTCTTAGCCTTAAAATAGGCAATCTGTGACAAATGTAGAGACTACCTCTACCACTTACACTGTATGTACAGATAATAACCCTCTCACCTACATTCTCAGCACGGCAAGACGAGGCAGTTCAGCATCTCTGGGTTGGACAGTTGACTGATTTTAATTTCTACATATCATCTTGGTAAGGCAAATGTAGATGCTGATACTCTTCCTCAATTCCCTGTCTCTCTTAATGATAACATTGGCGAATATACAGAAAGCTGTATCACTGCAGAATGGCAGTTAAACAGAGAAGTCAAAAGGGGCATCTGCTGATAAAATACTGCCCCTAGGTGTGTCTACAATCACTTACCACCACGTGAGAAAGGCACAGCAGGAGAATCTGGCAGTCAAAGACATGATGAGTCTAAAAAATAAAGCGTGGATTCCAAATGACCCAAATTCTCTGGGACAGTCTGCCCCATTTGCCCTATGCATGTGCACCACTGTCACACATGCATATACCACATTACGTTTTATGATGCTGCCCGATCTGTACCACTACCCGACATGCCTGTCTTTTTACATCATATTAGTAAATTAGCTGTTTTTAAGGCTGAAACGATATAAGCAGCCTTGATCTCTTTCCATGTTTAATATTAGGAGTTTCTTTCTATGAACGAAAATATTTAGATATGGACAAAAACCCTATATTGTGCACTGCATAGATCATGAAATCATGGCTTCTACATTCGTGAAACTATTCGTGATACTATTCTCCTGGCAATATTTATGCTCTACAGTCTAAAGTGCTGTAAAATTAAAACACAGATCGGGTAGTGACATCCTCCCCTTCCACCCCCCCCAATCCACTAAGGACTTTCTCTGGCTGTTCATAGTCATGTATTTTTTATAACAGGCAGAACTGACGGCCCACAACGACAACTACAGGAAAAAACAGCCACAATTTAGTAAAGAGGTCATTTATTGTTTGTGAAATAAAACAAGCTCTGATTCTCTTGGAAGGAGTTCAAGGCCAAATAATAAATTATGAAACTGAAAAGGGTTTTAATTAACATTGTAAAACAATTTAGTTTGACAGGATGAATGACATAAGCATACAAATTCACTCAGAAGACCCACAAAAACAAAATCTGTGCAACAACACACACTCTCACCCTCACTCTCACAACAAAAACACAAATCTTTTCACACTAAACCACAAAATAAGATTTTCCTCTTTAATAATGAACATGAACAGCAGTAAAATATCTTACATTATGTAGCATTCTGTAGAGCACCTGTAAATATCACCATTTTATCTCAATTCTCAATATGTGATCATTTGAACAGTGCTTTGTCACATGGACAGAAAGCATTATTATTTTTTATTATTATTTATTATACGTCTTATTATTACTGTATGTGAAGTAAGTGAAGCAGTTGTTTTGTGTCTAACTGTCGTTTAACAGTCAAGCTGCATTTAAACTATCAGTGAAAACTTTCAACATCAAGAACAGAAAATTTCGCCCTTCACTCTGAACTTTGATTCTGAATGAACTCTTACTGGACATTTAATTACTCTGTACTTTTACCCTCAGAGTGACTTTTGGCCAACAAGAAAAAAAAATCAATATTGTATCACTCAAAAATCACACCGCCGGCCATGTCATGAGTTTAGTGAAATTGCACGATTTCCTCTGCCATATTTATTCTCCTCTCCATCATCACTCTATCCTCTCCTCTCTTCCTAGGCTGCTTATCCACTCTCTCGGCCTGTCGCTCTCTTCGTCCAGTAGGTGAGACTGTCTGTGTTCCCACAGCCGCACAGCACCATCCCACTAAAAATAACAAACACAAAAATAATTTATATAAAATAAGGAATAATTCATAGTGGATACTGAACAACTCATAGAATATACTGAACAAATCACAGTGGATACTGGATAATTCACATTGAATGCTGAATAGTTCATCGTAAATGCTGAATAATTAATAGCAGATACTGAATAATTATTAGTAGATGACGAATAACTCACAGTCGATGCTGAATAATTCTTAGTAGATGCTAAATAATTTATTGTAGTTACTGAATAATTCACAGTAAACACAATCATTCAAAGTGGATATAAAAAATTATAGTAGACGTTGAAAGATTTCTGTTGTTTTATTGTTCCACCCTCAGCAGATACAGATATACAGTGTTCTTGGATTAGAGCAACAGTGGTCACTCACAGAGCTGCTGATGATGTTGTCCTGAAACGGGTGCCAACTGACATCCCTTACACATGCATCATGACCCACTAGCCTGGACACCACACGGCCGGTCAAGACGTCATAGACTGCAGAGAGAGAGTAAGTGAGAGACAAAGACAGAAAGAGAGAGAGAGAATTAAGATAAATTAAGTAAATAATGAAGCCATCTCTACAGCAGTTCCTCTGCTGAACACTTACTGATGATTTTTCCAGTTGAACAGCCTGTGTAGATGAATCTCTGACCAGTACTAAACTCCGGAGAGAAACGGCAGCGGATCAGTGTGTGCAGTACTCCGTGACCTCTGTAGGTCATCACCGATGTGTCTCCAGTGAGCTTATGTCTCTTCAAAGCTACAGACACAGAAAACAAACAGAGGGACAAATAGTAAACAGCAAACAAAAATGAATGTTACATGCAGGACATTGAAAATATCACATTATTCTGATCCTATGTTTTGGGGCTTATGGTAGATTCAGGAACTTTTTATTTTAGTTTTTTATGTTATTTATTCTCAGGACGTCTGTTCTATTGTAATTCCACAATTTGACAGAAAGCTTAGACTTACAATCTATTTTATTTTTAGCTTATTTTTAAAACATTAAATAATTTAATTAAAAGCACACATTTAAAAAAAATAATATTGAAAGTACTAAACCATTTTTTGAAAACTACTGGACTTTTCATTTTGAAAGTTGTTACTGCAATCTCTCCTGTTGGTTTCATCGTAACTTGTGCCCTAGCAACATCCCCTACTGGAGAAACTCGAGACTGCAAGATGGGCTAAATGATTGTTATGCATCATTATAGAGGACTTGCTCTGGAATTCAGCAATAGATGTCTGTAAGAAACCATAAAGTATTATATTTTATGCATTTGACAACTCACCGAATTGTCCGGACACTTAAGCTAAACAGAGTGGGGAAAATTACTGAGGACTGCTCACACGCAGAACACAGTGCCTTTGAATTACTTCCATCTACATGGACCAGGCACCACTAGCCTTTAAGCTACTGAACATCCACACAAATAATGTGACCAAATACCCTTAACATCATGTACTCTGAACTGTACAGTACTCAGTAATAGTTGTGTAATATTTTGGATTTTGTGCGATACTTAGACCGTGCAATATTTTTTGGTCTCTGTATGATAACGTAACTGCACAACATTTTTGGACAGCAGGTCCTGGCTGCTTAATGGGATAAATTACCCATCACAGCTCACATACTCTTGCAGTATTTGAAATAGCATACTGTGTGCTGTATACTCCACCAGCATTTACTGTGTAGTGCATGCTACTCTTCATCAGTAGTATACAGTATAATATCCTGTATACATACTGTACAACGTATACAAGCAGGGGCATGACTAGCCTGCCAACATCAGGGACTGAGCCAATCAGACCCTTTTCAAGACCCTCTCCATTTTCCTTAGCCATCCAATCACTTCTAATAAACCTTGATAGTCAAGCTTTTCGGGTCATGTGGATATATTTTGGGTTAGAGGTCTGCTGAGCTCTGAAATATACTATAACAGAGTTGTGGGTGTTATTTTCTACCCAAACGCCAAAAATAACTGTGGTAACCCCTTGTTGTTTCCAGGGACATCTGTGTTTTCTTCTGTTTGCTAAAAGACCATTCATTTAATTTTCATTACATTCGTAGTTGGTAACGCGAGCTAGTTTGACTGTATATTAAGCAGTGTTAGCCTGGAAAGTAGTAAGTTACTGTTTTAGCCATGTCATCTATGCAGTAAGTTAACTTTATTAACTACATTAAGTAATCGAACCCACTGCAAGAACCCACTGCAGAGAAACCTGATGGAGCTTCAGTGTTGCACTGAGTGCAGCAGCAGGTTAAATTATTTCCTTTCACTTGATTATGTATACAAATAAGACTGAAACCCGGGTATTAAACTGTTCAGAGCAAACCAGGCAGTTACATCAGTGGTTATGTCCTCCCGAAATGATGACATTCCATTATGGGATGCAGTATATTGTAAAGATAGCTCTGGCTGCATACTGGAAAATTTGTCCATAGTAATATGTAAGCAGAGACTCAAAACAGCTCTGCATTTCAGCATTTTTTAATATTACTTTTATCCCAGTGATGTATTTGTTAGGGGTTTATATAACTATATGACAATTTTAATCTCTCTCCCTCACCTCTCTGTGGAACCTGTTGCCAGCGGTAGTCCCAGTTCTGCTGAGTAACAGCAAGCCGCGAGGCAGCGAGACCTTCTTTAGGAGAAAACTTCCTCACATCCCACAGTTTAATCGTCTGATCTTTAGAGTTACTTATCAGATACCGTGCATCACCCTGTAAAGCATACAAACACACATAACATTACAACACAGAGTAAAGTCCCACATCTATCATATTATAAGGATTCCTCAGTTCCATATCACACTGTGGAAAAGGGGTGCGCAACATGACAGTATATTTTTGATATTGTGAAATACGTGTTCTTCAGCTCTAAAACAACGAGTTTGTGAAGAGTTAGTTATCTGATACTAAACTCCTTGTGCTATAGCTGAGCTCTGTACTATCTGCTGTGTGGTGTGGAGTTTCTGGTCTGGTGTGCAGCAGCCTTTAGAAGCCTGATGGCTTCTTTCTGTTTCCTTCACTAGACTAAACAAATTAGAACCTCTGACCAAAACATAAGAAGTAGTTCTACACTGCTCTCTAGTGGAGGACAGAGTTTAGACAGCTCAGGATTCTTAAATATGAGAACATATAAAGTCAGAGAGAAGCTAAAGTGATGCTTATCAATAGCCAATTTACTATTCTGTATTTTAAACTTTCATGACTGTTCAAAAATGTGAATATTTTGACTCATTGTGTGTTTTTGTGTGTTGAATGTTCCGTTTTGTTTACCTTGCTGTGTATGAATGTGATTCCATCTCTATGTCCGGCAAGATGACCCACAGGTTGTGGTCTGTCCTCTCTCAGCGTACGTCTGTCCCACACTTTACACAGAGCATCATCACTACCCGAAAATAGCAGCTGAGACGAACTGTCCGCAAATGCCACTGCGTTTACATCATCCTCATGAGCATCAATCTAAGAGAGAGAGGAATAATGCACACACATACATACCATACTGTGATGTTTTAAAACAACAGTATAGCCAAAAATCGAATTAGCCCAGTTATCCCCGTACCTCAAATGTAGTCCATCAGCCAAGATATGTTTGGTGCCTAAAATTTGCTTCTTTAGTTTTAGCACTGGAGCTACGAGGCTAATGTAACTAACAAGCAATGGAAGCTATATTAACTTCTTTTCTATTTATATGATTAGCATGGTGCTAACTGCATGCCATCATCATAACACACTTGCCTCAAACGTGTTAGTAAAGTTGCCATTATATTCAACAGCTTCCAATTCTATTCCACCTTTAATGGTGCCAGAATGTAACTGCTGCATCATTTAAGGTGGAACGGAAAATCTGAATAAGAAGCAAGTGAATAAGAAGCCAACTTCAGCTTTGTGCCTTCATGTAAATCTCTAACAGTTTTTTGTTACGTGGTTTCTTACACTGTATGACCCACTGTTATCTATAAACACAGTACATTAGCAGGGCTAAAAACAGTAGTGGCTATCTTGAAACCTGAATTTTATCCATCTTCAGACACAAAAGCAGGCAGGGACTGGAGAATTTAATTTTTGTGGCTTTAAGATCTGGTGTCTTGTGGACTCACCTTCAAAGTTCTTTTATTTTGTTCACGGTCAAATACATAAAGGCAGCCGTCGTTCGCTCTATAGACAAACACACACAGTACACAAAATATCAATCAATAAATGCAATCTATAGGTGTTTTTCCACCAGTCAGGGGTTGTATTCGCTGACTGTCATGATCAGTATGTTTTGATGCTTTTCCACAGTGAATGCTAACGTTGGTATGAAACCGAAGTTGGTGACCTATTTGCAACCTTCCAATTTTTTTTCGAATTTTTCCATATTTGACGCAGCCAAAGTTGTCATAACAGAAAAAACATTACAGCAGCGGCAGCATTTACAAATGAGAACAAATAGGACTCATTTACTTTACCTTATTTTGGTGATGTTTATTTACTTTTCCAACTGTGTGGACTGGCAACAGGGTTCTGTGTTGATCGGCATGTTCTGACGCTTTTTCACAGTGAATTTCTACATTAGTATGAGGCTGAAGTTGGCTTCTTATTAGCCAGCTTCTTTTTGAATTTTCAGTCTCACCTTAAACAGTGCAGCAGTTACATTCTAGTGCCAGTGAATTTTCGTACCACCACAAAACGTATGGAATACAGCATTAACATTAAACAGGGCAAAGTGTAAAAATGTAAAGTTAAATCATAAAATGACCAACAGTCGATGAGCTATAACTGACTGTGTTAACTTCCAACCTGCACAACACCGACTATATTCTTGTAAACATTAGCAGCTAACTTTAGCTAACCTCACTGGGTAACTTGTCATGAGATCCTTTATTTACCTTTGTGGTCAAGCAGGTAATTCTCAAAGAAAAGCTTGTAGCCCTTCTAAAGCTTGCACATAAAAAATAAAACTGCTCCACCAAGTGAACAAAATCTTTTGTGTAAAAATTAAGTCAATTCCTTAATAAGAACATTAAAATAAATGACTCCTCTACATCAGACTCCCTCTATATTCTCATTCAGAAACACTGCAGCTGCTGTAATGTTTTCTATTATGATGACTTCTGCTGAGTTGAATACGGAAATGTGAAAAGAGTCCATTAACACAATAACAATAAATATCCACTCCTAACAGGTTCTCAGGTATGGTACAGGTCACTCCTCAGTGGAAGTGATAGCAAAACGTACCTTACTGCCCTCATCTGAAAAAACCCTCATCTGTCTCACACATTACACAGAGCATTATTATTATTATTAGAAAAGGTGAAGGTTACTGACCCGCCTAGAATTTCTCTCCCATCTGTGGATGCTGCCAGAGAGAACACACAGAACCTCCGTTCCTCTGGACTGAGAGGGAAAAATAAGGATAATAAAGACTAAAAGAGAAAGACCAGCAAGATAAAACTGCTAAAAAATATACATACAGCTAACAAATATGACATTCACACAGTGTTTTGTCACTGGATATTTATTTATTTTTTTTTGGTTTCAGAGTTCTAGAAATGATCTTTTTCACATGATCAACACCATCATCATCACATCACCATCCAGTCCTGAACATTAAACATGTAGTCCAGCTTCTAAAATGATGCAGATGAACCCTGGCTCCATCTATAGCCTGGGTGGTGATGTTTAGAACATATAACGGTTATTATGGGCTGGACACGCTGGCAAAGTTCACTGCTAACTTTCTTAAAATTATATTCTTCCAGTTTGTAGAATAAACAAAATGAAAATTATGCATCTTCTTTTTCCTTTAAAGACTTTTTCTGGTGTGGGCTCATATGTTTTGTTTTACTGCATAGCCAGAAAACTATGTACTGCAATTAGCTCAATCGGAAAGGCTGGAAGGTGCTTTACCTGTGTTGCTCAATCAGAGCTAGTTTAAGGGGAGCTACTTCCTGTGTGACCTGTTACACCAAAAACATGACTGTAGAACTCCTTAATGAATCAGTGTGAATGGAGCCAAATGGCTAAAAATGAACAGTGAAACGCTGGTTAGCATTACTGCTACCGAGTACTTACTGGTTAGCATTACTGCTAGTAAGCATTATTTGGTTGGAAATAATGCTGTTCAGTGCTGATTGTTCATTGACTGATTAAAGCAGCTTGCACTCAGTAATGTCATAAAGGTACAAAAGATGCTGTTATAAAGTCTCATTACTGCAGTTCAGCAGTGTAAAAATATCTGATGTTTTGCGTTAAATAAACAAGTGCATTTTTCCTGTGTAAGAATGATCAAGAAAGCTCCTTAGAAACCCATTTATTTTGGACTCACTCAGGAGCACCCTCTAGTGTCTGAACAACATGGAAGACATTATTGCATGGCAGTTTTCTTTGCTAGAAATACTCAGGTTGTGTCCCACAACAGCAGGTTTTTTTTCACTATCACTGTATCATTCCACTCACCCCTGGTTTCTAAGTAACAATAATGGTAGCTTTTCGCTAAGCTGCTGGAACAAAATTAAAAACATACTTTTGAAACAATATTCAGGGTTTCTTTGATTCACTTGTTTAAAACTGTTGTATTAAAGCAGAAGAACATTGGTTATAGTATTTTATGATGAATAAAATCAGAGCTAAGATAATCAACTTTAACCAAATCACAGCTGTGAACATACTTACCATAATAAACCACCTCAAGTGTTTTGCCCATTAACTAGTCTCAAACCAGTGACCTGAGACATTATGACAACACACAATACGCATCATGATATTTAGTTTTTTGAAGCTTTGCAGTGATGCTTTTAAATGGTGTTTTTCCACAGAGCTGTAATCTCAGAGTTTCTGTAAACACTGAGTTATGAGAACAAGTCTGATCATGTCAAGCAAGCTGAATACTTCAGCTGAACTAACATTTTTACATGAAGTGCAGACTGGTTTACCTTTGATAACAGCTTAAAACCAACAAGACACAAAAACAAATGTAATTTCAAGTACAAATTCAGTTAAATCGTTAAAGATGTTTACAGGAACATGCTGAGAAACAGTGGTGACCAGAAAAACACTGGCAAAACTTAAACCTTTACATATAAAACTGTCTAGAAGATTCCTGGTAAATTGTATTTCAGCAAAGCACTGAAAATATAACTACACTAAACCTGTACTAATGACTTGAACTTTTTTCCAGCCTGTGCAGTAACAGCAGAAGCACTTTGCCAGCGTGTGTTCTGATTGGCTAGCTCAGTCAGGTGATGAATGTAATGAAGGATGTGTTTTAATGGTGATGTGCTCTACTGTCACTCATCCACAGTAAAGGACCTGTGAAGGTGATTACCTGCGTTTTAATGCTATAATGTACTATGAGGGAAACACTAACTTGAGGTCCAGAGCGGTGTGCGTTTCACTTTCACCATCTATGCTGCAGACATGGACTGAAAGGAGAAAATACAAAGTGGAAAAAAGAAGTCATATCTAAATCTCCAAATAAATTTCCCTGAGGTGGTAACAGTGATTATTAGTGATTAAGGTTGAGCAGGGCACAAACCAACGCAGGGTCATCTGTCATTTTAACAGCAGTGAGACTGATTTTTCTCGAGATTCACTCTGAAGCAACAAAAGTAACTGTTTTCATTTAAAGTGTTTTCATTTAGTTCATGGAATTCACGCCTATATTATTGTAATCTCCCTCCTGGTGGCTGTAATATAGCACCATCTAGAAACAGATAAACAATTCACAGTGAGAGCCAGCCAGGCTAAAGTACAGCCTCCATAAAACGGGTTAGTTTACCACCTAAACCCAGTTAGAATTAAGGACCCCAAGTAAAAAATCTGAGAGCTCCATGGCTGTAATGTTTAGAAACAGTAGGAGCTGCAAACAATTTTTATGTTTTCATTTGTAACAGAGACGTGCAAGTTGCTTGTATAAAAATATTCCTCAAATACTTTTCAACTTATTTAACAAACAAAAAACCAAAAAATTGTGCCCCGCTCTCCCCTAGACAAGGGTTTCCAGTGTGATGGGTCCTTAGTGATTGCCTGAGTGCCCATTGGTCAGTTCCACACAGATTGTAGATGGACACACAAATCCACCGATTACACACGGTAAGAGGCAGATGATGTGTATCTCAACCCCTTCTCAGAGCCTCATAACTCTGGATGTGAGTCACGTACATCTGTGATTGTGATAAGATGGAACGGAAAGGACAGACTCTACAGATTCAGGAAATGTTTGAATGATGTTCCTGTGCTGCTTTATCACAAAGATAAAAAAAACATACATAGAAACATCAAATTTGACACATCGTAGACCCCAGATGATTAATTTATCTTATTGATTACTGGTACTACAGCCTGTTGTTTCTAGGCTAGAATGCATTAAAAAGGAATTCCTCCAATTTTTAAAAAAATCTGGCATTACTAAATAGTTAGAAGTGTACCAAGTCAGCATTGTTTGTCTGAGTAGACTGTCTGAGTTTTTATATGTAATGTTGATGTAAAATAGTGGTAGATCAGAAAGAATAAGTTGTCTTTGGGGACTATTTTGCCTCACAATGCCTGCATGTAACCCTTTTTAAAAACATAAGTATAAAAAAAACAAATATTGTAAAACAATGTCTCAGATATCAGGCAGTGTATTCATTACCATTTCATGTAATAACTTTCTGTAAAGAAGCTTTCAGAGGTGGATGTCTGGTTTCTGTCACAACTGTGCACAATTCTGACTCAGTTTCTCTAAAACGAAGCATTTCATACCAGACTCTATATGACTTTAACCCCTTAATTATGCAGAAATTTTAAAAAATCAGTAGAATTACCCTCTAAATTTCTATTTAGCCTATTTCTGTTCTAAATAGGGTTTGTGTCTAATAATTCTGATGCGACCTAAACTTCAAAATCATTTGAGCTCATGTTTTTCAGCACAGGTTTGATCTGATTTAGCTCAAACTGGCACACCGCTATAGAGTAATATTTTATTGACCTGTTCTGTTGCTGCTAAATCTGGTATAGAACATGGATTACAAAGTAAAACACAGATTTTGAGACCAGAATGATTTAGTCTAGTTTTAGGAACCTTAAAACCACAGTTTTCTTACATTTAAACCGTAAAACTCGACAGCCATCACTGGTAGATTGAATACAATTGTCAATCAGCTTAAGCCTAATGTATACCTAATTAAATTCTATTCAAATATTGTTTAGTGTGCATTTAAAAGGAGCTAGAATTGTCTGTGCTACAGGTTCAGTCTGTGTATCAGGTGGTGTTGGGGCAACAGCTGAGCTCAGCTGACCTGACTATGTATGTATGTGAGTGTCTTACTGTAGTCAGACCAGCTGGAGTAGAGGATAGATCGTGAGTCTGGAGTAAAGCACACGTCCAGCACACTCCAGCCCACGTCCCTCGCCTTTACTGTCCGCTTCAGCATAAACCCGCCTCTGCTGGTGTCGTACAGCCTGATATTCTGATCTAAACACAAACAAGCTCATCAGTACACAAACCACTTTAGTGGAAAACAGGATGGAGAAACATTAATAAACACTTTTACATATTGTCTCTTTTTTTCCTGTTTTAATTTTTCACTCTGTTTGTAAACTTCAGCTGCCCTTTACATTAATAATTGACCAATAGGAATGATCCAGAATTAACTGGAAAATACTGAAGTACATTAAAGTAATGAACTTTTTCTCCTTCTCCTATAAAGTCACCAGGGATGCACAAGGAAACTGAAATCACGTCGCCATCGTTGTTTGGATGTTTACATCTGAGCAGAATGTTAGGTAACACTGGGTTACTGCACTATTCATTTTACTGCATTTGTAACTCTACAGAAATAAAGTGTTATATTTCTTTGTAGTGCTAGAATTCTCATTTAACATTTCAGAGATAAACGTGTGGTTTTCTTATATAAGGCTTTCTTATGACAGTGACAATAATTAATATACAGAAATGCACAGCTTGGATACAGTGTGTTAAACAAAATAAACATTCTTACAGTGCTGCACTATATATCATTTGTTAAATGTTATTTTAATACTGTCAATACTGATATTGCAGAAAGCCGCAATACACAAATACGCCTCTAATCAATCACAGTGCTTGTTTACTGTGTGCTGAGATCATCCTGACCAATCACAGCTCCAGATGAGATTCTGTGGATGTGCTGCTTTTAAACCAACAACAGGAAATTATGTTGGTTAAAATCATGCAGGGCAGTATTTAACCATGTCACATTACTGATTTGTCTATATCATGCAGCCCTGCAGTATTACAGTGTAGAGCTTCATCTTTACCTTGACATGCAGAAAGGAACAAGTTTCCATCATCACTGTAGACTCCACAGAAAGCTTTCTGCTGATAAGTGTCCTTATGGGCCACAAAGTTGGGCAGAAAACTGAAGAACACATTAAGTGTTTAAATAAGAAACAAGGCACAACAAAGAAACATGAATCTTTAACAGAAAATCTTCTATAATGTATCTTCAGTTCAAAATGAGGCTAATGCTGGACCTCAGAAACAATCTGAAACATGGATTACAACCAAACCTTTACTGTACATGCAGTCTTATTTCAGCAAATTAGCTTTTTTTTTTTAAGACTGTACTGATTTCAATGCATTACGAATAAACAATATAAATGATTATGAACAAAACACTGAACATAAACGTAAAGCTATATGTCTCAATCAACCCAAACTCTCTACAGAGCATCTCATTTACTGAAACCACTGTCAATGATTAAAATTAGACATCTGGTGCAGCCTATCAGAGAAACGTGTGTGGTGAAGGGTGGGGCTTGTGCTATGGACACATCCATGCTCAGATGTCTGGCAGTGCAAAGGTTGAGAAAAGCTATAGTGAACCTGCATTTAACAGCTTGAAAACGGTTGCATGCAGGGCTGCTATGACAACCAGAAAAACTGCTGTTTTCCAATATGCATTTGTTTCATTCACTGGTTCTTTTCTTGTGCAGGTTTGCCAGATTTGTGATTTTTTTTCAGAAAATTGGTTAGTTTAAAAATTCAGTCACTAGCATTAATCATTGGGACATGCTTTTTTGCAGCCAGCAAAAACAGTATGATACTCTGATTGCAGTAAATGAAAGCTAATCATCTTATGAATGTATATTGATCCTAGTGTTGAACAGCTGGCAACATAAAGACACTAAACACTGTGCCCATGTCTAAAATAGAATTAGAGCTCTGAAGAGTCAATAACACTTTTAACACCTAAAAAATTGAGTTTAATCTTGACCACAGAATCGAAAATCATATCAAACATGAAAATGTGTATTGTTATGCCCAAACTATATACATTTCTGTTGCATCTTGACTTAATGTATATCTGTACTGTCCCTGTCAAATTAATCAATAAAAATAAAAGGAATGAAAATGCTGAGGAGTCTACAGCAGTGTGTGCATGTAAACAAACTCACTGTGAGCGAATACGGCTGCACTCTCCATGAGAGAAACTGGATCCACGACACCGACCTTGCTCCCTCTGTAACGCATATACACATATAGTCATTCTGCAGAACACAACAGCTACGCTTCGATCCAAAGGACGTTTTTAAGAAGAACATTTAATGTTTCTAATTTAGTTATGTTAGTTATGGAAACAATAATATTTTCTATATTGATATTCAGAGACAAGCTTTAAGTTCAAATCATTTAGTGAAGTAGTCACTGTAAACTACAACATAATAATATGTGAATTTGCATGGTCAACTTTCTCATTGCACATTCTGAGTTCATAAACCGCCATGCTCCGATTGACAGGAAAAAAAGAAAACCTACATGAAATCTGATCTGATTGGTCAAACTGAGTCACATATCCAGAAATCAGATTTGAGTCAGAATCACCTACAAATATGGCTTGAATTTGATTAGAAAATGCAGATTTCAAGTAGCTTTTTGCTGTTCAGACTGCAAAAAATCTGTCCTGCTCAAATTGCACGTCAAAAATCAGATTTTAGTAAGGATAGATGTTCATCATCTCTATATTCATGAAAATTTTTCAGCTCAAGTTGTGGCAAATGAGAACATTATATTCCTGCAACATTTCTGACCATTAATTTCAAGACATTTATACTACACTATCCATACTACTACTTTATTTAAATCATGCATCTAGATTTTATGTAGAAGTGCTGTATTCATGCTCCACCTTGTCCCTAACTAAGCAATATCCACTAATGTTTCCACCTTCTACAACATGTCATCTACATTTGTTTCAAGATCAGGGATGCTTGGAAAACAGGTGGAACAGGAATTATGTACGCAGTGCATAACCTCTGAAGATCTGTTCTGAGCTCTAAAAGATTGGCTGAAAGGTAACCTGAGATAGTGTGAGTGTTCTACTGAGCAGATATGAGCACATAAGTGGTGGGTGATGTTTTGTTTCAACACCTGAGCCAGCATATGAGTGAAGCTATGTCTGCCCTTCAAGTTTGAAGAGGCTGTGGCCAGAAGGATCTGCGTCCGAATTTCACTGCGGTCCACTTCCTGTGTGTCTGGGTGGGAGTCCACTAAAACACAAAGAATTGTTGGATCAATAACAGCAAAGAAACCCACCCAAACAGAGAAAAAAAGTCTGTATAATTACAGTATTCTAACAACACAATTACCATACCAACAAATGAATGGAATCTATTTGTATATTTACCTGGAGGATCATAGCGGTGTCCCAGCCGTCCCTCCCAGGCTCCATCACTGTCCTCATCCGAGTCTGAGACAGACTGGACCAGCTGCAGCCCCGTCGCTCCGCTGCCATGGACCAGTCTCACCTGGCCCCTACAGCAGAGGTAAACATAGAGCACACCTTATAGAGCACAGAACTACATTACAGCACAAAATACCTGCTTCTAACACTTCATTAACCTGCTTTTCCGCAAGCTGAACAATGCATATGTTATATATGCACTGTTATATTTAAGACTGCTGCTATTGATTATATCAGTAGCCGTGTAATCTACTAATCATTTGGACAATTAATTGAGTAGAAAAAATAATTAAAAATAATCTGATGACAAATGTTGACTTCACTGAACAACAAGAAGCATGCAGAACCTTTGAAAACTTCCCAAATTGGAAAAAGATAAACTAGGAAGCCATGCAGACGGCCAAGTAATTATTAATTTATCAAGAAGGTGAATGTTTATGATTATTTAAATCAAATAATTGAGTTTAACTAAGTAATTGTGTCATCTCTGGTATATTTTATTATATTATGTTGCAATTATATACCCCTACTACTGATAATAACAGGCTTTAGCTTACCTTCTGAGTAAGTACGCCAGTACTTGTGCTAAGTCTACGTCTTCCTCGGACGCTGTCACTCTCTCTGTCTGCCTGTCGGACTGTCGGCGACCCCTCTGGTTGGAGTTCTGGTTGGATTCTGGTTCTGACTGGTCTGGGTTACCGCTGGAACCCCGACCGGACATCCCAGAACTGGATTGAGAGCCCATAGACTGAGTACCTGTCACAAAATTAGCAGATAATCTTCAATAATAAATAATATCAGGCATGATACAATGGCTATTTAAGACACTTTCTTAAAAATACAGACAAGTTCCCCTGTTCTCCATCTGCCAATATAGCCTAGTGACTAGTTAAAGGGGTATTCCATTATTTTTTTAAGTTTTGTGCATAATTCAGTCATTGATATAATTCAGTCTGTCCTTATCTGCTTTAGAGTCATTCAATGAAATGGTTAACTGTAAAGACACTTACCAACCCAGATCTTCTGTACAATGGTGTTGACAGGAACCACTACTATAAAGGACACAAATATAGCCATTGTATTTACTATTCAGAAAAAACAGTGAATGTACACATCGTCTGAGTTTTATATGTAATGCTGATAAAGGTAGAATAGTGGTAAATCTGAAAAAAAAAGTTTCCTTTGGGAATTATTTTTATTTTGGAACTAAGAAATATTAAAATTAGGTTTCAGTCCAAAACCTTATCAAAACTAACATAAAACAATGTCTCCAACATCATAACCATAACATATTCATAACCATTTCATGTAACAACTTTCTGGTTCCTATCACCACCACTGTCAAAGGCACAAAGCAGAGCTGTGATGCAGATGGAGCTGGACAGACTGATTTAGCATTTATAAGGCAAAAGCACAGTTGTTTTTCATTTATGAAGCAAAAGTACAGAATTATTACAGAATTATAGAATGTAATGTGCAGAATTCCTATCTAACCATATGTAGACAGTTTGGTTTGCTAATATAGCTACAATACCAACATAAACAATACGCTGTATATACTCAATAGACATGGGACGTCATGACAGACTGACAGCTTTAATAAAACCGACATTATTGACAACATTATATACAAGATTAAATTCGACAGGACAACCGACGAGTTATAGCTGACTGTTAAATATAAAGCTTATGACTTATGTTAATAACTACTGTTCCTCATTAACGCGTAATATTAGCGTTTATCGTTGACGTTTATGTTTGTTTATGCTGTGCGTTAGCTGAATGCTAATGGGCCTACCGTAACTCTGCAGTCTCTCAGCTCTCCGCTCAGACGTTTATCACAGAACAACAGCGCTATGACAAAGTTTATACACAGATATTAATCTCCGCTGAACTGTTTTTCTGCTTGACTGTTTGTCTAATTTGTTTTTAAAAGCACATCTGTCTGTCCCAAACTCGCCATGTTGTTTATGAACCGATGCTCGCTCCCGCCGGTCACGTGACCCGCTATCGCGAGAGCGCGCGTCGGTCACAGACACAGAGGCCGCCCGTGAAGATAGCACTAGATAGTATATATGTTTTGGGTCTCCCATACGTACAACTGTGGTGTAAGGAGAGGCCACAGCCGTTACGCAGATCATCAGTAAAGAAGTCAGAATAAAGCTTTCGTTGTTTTTAAACTAACCAAGAACGATATATTTTAAATAAAATTCGTTTTCAACATGAGTTTTTAATCAAAATATATTTTTCTTTATCTAGCCCTGGAAAATCAATCTACCCCTGCTGAAAAAGACGACTTTTATAATAGGGCACTGTAAGGGTATGTAAAATGTTTTAAAGGATATTTTAAATTGTGAAGTCTCAGTGGACTGCACGTTTGTCACGACCTAGATGCTAATTTCCGACCAGAACGTCAAAAACAGCAACGAACAGGTGAGTAAGCACAGACACCAATCAATGGTAAGCAGTGGTCTCTGTCCGAGTCGGTGTTATGAAAGTCTCTAAAGGAAGCAGCTAATATAGCTAACATTAGGTGTTATAGATAGCTAACTATGTTAACTAACAGGAGGAGTTCGTAGTTTGGGGGTAGGGGTTTGTGTCGGGTTCAGTTTGAATGGGAGACTGTGAAAATATGAAAATTATATAGAATCAAAAAATAACTATAAAATCAATTTTAAGCAGAAATAACTGTCACTTTTGACTGCAGGATCTTAACCAGCTCTGCACATTTTATTGTTTTCCTGCTCTCTCGCATTGTAACTCAGGATAAGCTTGTGAATTACATGATTTCTCAGTCCTGGTGACTGCCTATTTTAGGCTGTGCTCTAAATACTACCATATACTACCATACTAAATAGTATGTAAAAATAGTACACCACCATTGATAGTACATGCAGCAATATAGTATGTGTAGTTTGGTGTGTTGGACAGTCTAGTGCTTCCCTGCAGGAAACCCCTGAATTAGAGAAGGAGTATCCAGCCCTGGTCCTGGTGATCAACCGTCCTGCAGAGTTTAGTTCCACCACACCAGGTTCCTTTGAAGGTCTTTATTAGGTGTGTCAGATTTGTGTGGGGATGGGGAGACAGGGCTGCTGAGCCTGAAGCTGCATCTGTAGGGCCTGGCACCAGGCAGGGGCAGGGACAACTAATTTAGTATGAATAACTTGCTAAGGTTGCCTGAGTTGATTAAATGTTGGCTACAAGAGGAGTGAAATGTGTTTACTCTGTGAAACACTGTGAAGATCAGAATCAGAATCAAGCTTTATTGGCCAGGTATGCTTACACATACAAGGAATTTGGTTTTGGTTAAATTCCTTGTATGTGTAAGCAAACCTGGCCAATAAAGATATGAAGTTAATTATGTTCAGGAAGCAGAACCAGGCCATGGACTGAGATAACAGATTAATTTACTTATGGACTACACTCACCTTTCTTTGTGAAAAATTGGATGACATACTGTCTATTGTCAAATACTATCTACTGTCAGCAAGACTTTTCTTTAGGAAGCTGAGACATGCTCCACTCTTCACTCGCAGTTCACTGCTGGCTCATGTACACAGAGCTGGACAGTTACCATTCTCCTCTGGAACCATCTCAAGTGATGTTTCTCATGCAGCAGCTGGAAAAGCTAGCAAACTGACAGTGACTAAATTGGGAAAGAACCAAGTATATCCTCCAAAACACTTGGTGGGAGAAGATGTCTGGAACCAGTCCTGGTGAAACTGGTGAAGCTTATTGCACATGATCTCATCATATACACCACAGGTTCTCAACCCTGGTCCTGGAGTACCCACTATCCTGTATATTGTTGTGTTTTTCCTGCTTTACACATCTGACCCAGCGCATGAAGAGCTTGTTAATTTGTTAATGAGTTCAATCAGTTGTGCTAGATGAGGCAACCACTGATCTACACTAAAGGGCCCACATCATGAAAAACTGAATGTTCCTAAAGTTTCCAAACGTACTGTTGCCTCTCCAGACCACATATTTATACTAAAGACCATTCTACATTTACTGTTTTACATTAAATTATATCCACATATTTAGCCTACAGCAATTTAGCTTTAGCCCTGTCCATTCACACAGAAGTTATAAGGAAGGTTTCAGCCTGGACTGCCTTTTCAATACAGAGCAGCCAATCATAACAGAGCTCATTTACATATATACCACTCTTAAAGACACAGAAACAAAAACAGCCTGTTTAATTCTAAGGGATAAGGAGAGGATGGAAAATAATCATGTAAAGAATTATTACTACTGTTTTTGGTATGTAAACCCTCACAAATTAAATACAATAACAGTGTAGGATATGGGCCCTCTTTAACCTTTAATTAATACACTCTCTTCTGGGATCACAGAGAGAAACAAACCAACCACCTCCAAGTCCAGCAAAGTTCTTAGTTCTACTGCACCACACAGCCACTCTGGAGGTTGAAGAGGTTCATTTTGGCCAAGAAGACAGTTATGAGTGAATACAACATGAATACAGCAGCTGGTAAAATATTTCTGGAGACCATTTCATAAGATCTTCACAATTACAACAGACTCTTTTTATGAAGCAAATTGATTGTATTTGCAGTTTGATTTTGATGTTTGTGTGGTAACTTCAGCATCTATTGAATACTGTGCTAATAGATTGTGGGCCAGTTTAACAGACCTAGATCAAGCCTAAACCTAGACTTGAAAAAAATGTCATTGAAAACTCTCCACTGACACTAAAATGTAGTCCTAGATCAGCCTTAATCCATATCAAGTGATTCAAAATCCATAAAGTTAAAAAATTAAGTTTATTTTGTACTTGGTGGGAGTATAGTGATGTTTTTATTACTCATTTATGGTGGAGTTTTAAAAGATCAGTGTTGCTCTCTCAGTGTTCTCCTGCATGAACCTTACAGACTGATGCAGTGTTCACATTACAGCTGATGCAGGATTCCTGAATGGGAGATTAAAGATGCAACATTGTTTTGGAAATTTAACCTTATTTGGCCTGGTGATGATGCAGCATCTGCCCTTTCAGCATTACAGGAGGTGTAAAAGGAGAATTCCAACTGATTTCCAAAATGTCTGCATAAGACATGTTGAGATGTAAACAAAGTCATTCAGAGTGGTTTGGTGTAAAATGCTCTGTTCCAAAGAATTGTTCACAGTGGTGGTGATAGGAACCAGACAGACATCCACCTCTAAAAGCTCCCTTACAGAAATGAATGACATGAAATGGTTATGAACACACTGCCTGATGCCTGAGACGTTGTCTTACAGTAGTTTTGAGATGTTGGCCTAAAAAAGGTAAACTAGTTCCCAAAGAAAATACATATTCAGTTAATTTACTGTTATTTTACCATAAAAATTACACATAAAAACTCAGAAGACACGTGTAGGTTTACTGGTGGTTTTGGAGTCTTTACAATGGACTCACATCAAACCACTCTGAATGACTTTGATTACGTCTCAACCACTAAATTATGCAGAAATTAAAAAATGTGGAATTTCCCTTCAGGGGTTTATGGATCCACATGTTTACCAGATCAGGTAAAAATAGAAATGAAGTTTTTATAAGTTTTTGGACACAGCCAGAAGATGTATTCCAGTCTCACTAATTAAACCACTCTGATTGACTCGTTTCCATCTCAACCACTGACCTATGGGAGAATTCTGAAAAATCAGTGGACTTGCCCTTTAACTCACCTTGCTGTGTTTCTCTGTGTGAATGCACTGCTACGCTAATCTATACAGTACAGTATCGTGTCTGTAATTTAGTCATACAGTCTGCAGCATCTGTCTGTGTTCTGCACTGCTTTACATTCAGAACTGGTGTTTGCACCAGGAGGTCCTAATCCCAGTCCTACTGACCCCATGCTCTACACACCCAGCCCAACAGGAGCTTGTTAATTAGTTAAATGTTAGAGTAGAGAAAGCCGAAGACTGTGCAGAGCCTGATATCACCAGGATTAAGGCTGGGAATCCTGTGCTAATCACAGCACTTATGACTGTGGAAGATCAAAAATCGATAAAAAAAGTTAGAGGCAGATAAACACATTACAGCTTGTTCATTTTATTATTGTTTTATTTCTGAAACGATAAAGAAAAGTGAACCAGAGGAACTGATATTTGATGTCTTGATGTTGAAAAATCCTACTTGCGTTTCTTGAACACTGAAAAGTAAAAGTACCACAAAATCAATGATTAAATAAATATTTTTATGATTATAAAAACTGTGTTATTTGTGAAAACAGTAAGTGGAATATTCATTGAAAACAGTCTTACTTTTCTTTTTAGCTTTCTTCTTCATCACTTTCTTCTTCTTCTTGGGTCTGGTATTGTCCAAGTCCTAAAATAAAACACAGAGACAATATTTTAGTTTTTGACAATCAGACTAATGAAAATTTTTTTAATAAGTCTGTCTGAGCTTTTATGGGTGAAAGTCAAATAGCCATGGACGTTTAAAAAAAAAAATCAATAGTAAATTAGATAATTTGATATGTAAACAAGCTTTTCTTTGTAGTGTTTTACATTCAACTAAGGACTATGATTAAATCTGTGTCTGAAGTCTATTCTCTACCAGAGAGCAGTGTACATTACTTATACAGCATACAGGCTTCATACAGGGAAAACTGTTCTGATTATTTAGTGTATACGGTTCAAGGCACAGCTTGCTGCTATCCCCCCCACCCCACCCCCTTACCGTTGCCTGTCTGCCGGTCAGTGCCGTGATGTCGCTGAAGTGTGTGATGTTGCCCAGCTGCGTGGTCATTCCCACCATCCGCCTCTTTTTGGCCTTTTGGTCTCGTGTAAGGCTCAGACGTACCATCATGGACTCCTCATAGTATTTTCTTAGGAAATAAAGAACAGAAAGGAAGGCATAAATGATCAAGAACAGGGACAGGGCAGGGACAGAGATGAGGCAGGGGCCAGTAACCAGGAACAGAGCCAAGGACATGAGCAGGGACAAGAAGATGGGCCAGGGACAGGAACGGTAACAAGGACAGCAATGCTGTTTTTATAGTCATTAATATAAACAACACCAAAATCAACAACTAAACTGTGAAAAGTTAAGCAAAGCTCTTTATTTCACTGTTCTTTTAATTTATATAAGTATTCAGTCCTCTGTTGTTTCTAATAAAAACTCATGGCAAGAGTTATTAGTATTAATATGTGCTGAAGAGACATTTTTCTCAACACGATTCCTTTAAAAAAAGTTCTGGGTTAAGTTTTTTGTTTAGAAATCCCATTAAGTGAGTAAACTTCATGGTTGAATTTTATGTTTGGTTGATTTGGTTGAAGTGCAAATATGTTTACTCATCCTCTACATAGAACATACTTCTGCACATTTTATGGCACAATTACTGTTAATTTGATGAATAACAAACATCTCTCTCTCTCTCTCTCACCTGTGCTGCTCTTCTCGGATCTCTCTATCGGTCTGGAAGTCCTGGCGGTCTCGGATTTCTTCAGGAGCGTCGCTGTACTGCTGCCGGAGCTCCTGGATGACAGAGCTACGTAGAGCCGCTTTCTTCTGTTTATCGGCGAGATCCTTCTGCCTGTCTGCCTCTGTCAGATCCCCGGCTGTGAAACACGCAGGAGAATTTTACTGAATTGCACAAAATCACTAGCAAAACTCAAACCCATCATCATCATCTCAGTGTCACTAATGAAGCTTCTATAAGCATGTCTGATCTTCATGAGAAACTAGATGAAATGTTTTTAATTATTAAAAACATACTGCACAATTAAAGTCACTACATCATTAATAATTTCTCTCTCTCTCTCTCTCTCTCTCATATATATATATATATATACTATATATATATATATATATATATATATATATTTGTGTATATGTACATAAACATTTTACCATAATGAACTGGAGCAATCTTGGGTGGTCTATATTTCCTGTCATTAGTGAGCCCTGCTTTCTGAGAATCTTTCTTATCTCCATCTTCTTCATCGTCATCATCATCATCATCTTCTTCCTCATGCTCACTGAACTGAAAAAGTAAAAGAACAACCACTGACAATGAAACACAAATGTTTACAATGTTAAAGATTAATAAGTTAAAATGATAGGAATGACTGTTACCTTACTGACAAGATTCTCAGGATTTGGACGAAAGTGTAAAGGATCGTTCTCAGCTATGACAAAGTATAAAATTCGACAGTTAGACAGAATCAGACCACAGTAATGATGTAAACATGTAGCATCACATATATAACTACAGTAAGGCTGCTAAGCATTAGTCAGTAAACAATCTATAGATTATTTTACTGATGCAATTAATAAACTTACTAAAGCATTTAACTGCAGTTCCAACAATTCATTGAAACAGGGATGCTTTTCAGTAACACAAACTGTTAATTAGATAAATCCATGCTGGAGCTTAAACACACAGAACATCCCTCACCAAATATAAACTGAGACTTAAGTGATTCTAAAGTTGTAATTACATTCAAGTTGATCAACAAAAACAGCACATCCTGACAGATTCAGACTACTTCGACAGTAAGCTGTAGAATTAATAAACAGAGAAAACTTTACACATTTTATTAATCTGATTTATTAATCATGCAGCAAGAACTACTGAACCTTAGAGAGATCTCTGTTAGCCTACAAGTTCCTGAGCAGAAACATCAGGATGTTAGTCACTCCACTCTTGGAAAAAAAACAGCTCAGAATATTAATTAAGAGGCTGTAGGAAAGGATTTAGTATCTAATACCTAAGGTCTAATAATTAAGGGCTGGGATTTAGGGTCTAGGATTAAGCTTCCAATAATTAAGGTTTAGGACCTAAGCGTTTAGGATTCAAGGGTTAGCAATTAGGGTCTAAGATTTAAGGGTTAGAATTTAGTGTGTAGGATTTAAGGATTGACATTTAGGATCTGGGTCTAGGATTTAGGGCCTAATATTTAAGGGTCAGGATTTAGCATCTAGAACTTAAGAGTTAGGGTTTTGGGTTAAGGATTTAGAGATTAGAGTTCAGTGGCAGGGGCTAGAATTTAGAGTTCAGAGAATAGTATTTAGGGCAGAGATTTTTCAATCCACACAGTCCATAACTGGAAACTGGATTCGAGGTCTGGATTTAAAGACCTCTGATTTAAAGTTTAGAGCCTAGTAAATTGGGTTTAGGATCCAGTACAGGGGTTATCAATCTTATCCACAAAGGGCCAGTGTTGCTAGAGATTTTCATTCCAATGCAGCAGAAACACATCTGATTCAACTTCTTCCCCATCTTTAAATGTTTGGATAGTTATATGAGGTGCTCCTTTTTAGCTGGAATGAACACCTGCAGCCACATCGGACCTTTGTGGATAATGCAGGACCCCTGATCTAGTATTTATTTGAGAGTTTTGGGTCTAAGCGTTAGGTTTTATATATTAGGTGTTGGGGGCAGCCTCTCCGTGTAGTCAGTTACATTGATGAATAGCAGCAGCCTGATATTCCAGTGCATCAAACCTTTATAATGAAAAATAAGTCTTACACAGACTTCCGGTGACAGCAGTTCGCACTAACTTATCAATCTGATACTTCAACTTCTGATCCAGAGGACGCATCTTCTCCAGAATCTGCAGAGAAAATAATTTCACAAGCAAACTAATATTAGGGCCATGTTAGAGGAGCACAAATCTGATGGATCTGAATTTTAAGATGTAAAACTCTGTCATAACAAAAAAGAAAAGACTCAGTAATCAGACTGCTGCAGTCTCTTCTGAGTTATATTTCACTGTATCTATAAACACTCAGTGAAAATCTTACAGTTCTTATGGTGACAAGTCTCTGGATGGCAGCGCTGTCGATCAAACTCTGTCCATTTGTCTTAACGCACATCAGATGAGTAACATCTTGGAGGTAAAACAGTAGAAGGTGGTATTTCAGGTCCAAAAAAGACAAACCCTTCAAACAAAAAAGTACAATTAGAGAACTTTTAGCTTTGAAGGTATTTAAGTATTTAATCAAGAAGATTTCTGTTCTAACCTTGGAGGTCTGATATTCCTTTTCTTGGACTTTCTTTATTAGGTCCCGAACATGGCTTGTGACAGACACCACCTGAAATTAGAGACAAGAACATTCACCTGAACACCTACTTCAAGCCTACTACGTAAAAAAACCTAAGCCTTATAGAAACTGAAACGTGGCTCAGCCAAAATTTTAAAAAGTACACGTCAGACACAAAATGTTTTCACTGATTCCTCCTTATCCCAAGTGTAGTCAAACTGGATTTGAATTATCGGTGAACTATCCCTTCAAAGGCTGACTCAATAATAGTAATAAAGTGAAAAAACTGCACAATCATAAGATGATCTTTAGAGAACTGTATATTTAGCACATTTAACTAATATTTCAGCTGTAAACGTTTAAGGCTTATAGACTCATACTTCAATTTTAAGCTTTTTCAGACCTGTTCAGTGAGTTTGTTGAGCACCTGAACCGCTTTGGGCAAATCATCATCAACGCAGTCCTGAAAAAATAAAACGAATAAAGTTATTATCACATTTCTTGTTTTGTCTTGTTTAAATCCAAATCCAAATCCAAATCCAAATCCAAAATAAATCACAGATGAATACGACAATTATCCACCAGAAAAGTTAAAAAGCTCACTACAAAAGAGCTAAAGCTGGCTTGTTTACGGGGTTGAAGTTGGCTTAACCTTAAATGGTGCAACGGTTACCGTATGGCACTCCAGGCGCCAGTATGTAACTATGGCCCTTGTTAAGGTGGAACGGAAAATACAAATAAGAAGGGGTCTCCAGCTACGTGCTTGTTATTCGAACTGTCTTCTTAAATTTTAATAGATTAGCTGCTTATTATACCCATCACTATTAATCAGCACTTTTTAGTGTATAAATCCGAAGTTTAATAAACATTTTATCCACACAATACTCACGTTATGAACACCGGTGGTCGCCATCTTGAACTACGGCACACGCTTTAGGACACGCGAGACGGTCCGTAAGATTTTACGTTGCGATTTTTTTTTTACCTTTTAATGGGAAACGAGCAGATCAACACAGCAGATGGTACATCACATATCAAGATAAGGTAAACTTTAGTGTAAAGAATCATGTTTTTACAGTGTACATGTCATATTGGGCTGTAAAATAAAACCCACATTGAGGTTTTTGTGGTGTATGATTACTACAGAATGTTTTATTTTCAGTAAACAAATGAATTAATTAAGCAGGCATGAAGAGTTGCTTGTAAATTTCCCACACAGTTACTCCTAACCATAACTTAGAGCATTTATGTTAAGATTAGGCCACTTCTGTTGTCATTGTTGATGCTGTTGACTCAATATGTTGTTTACCACATCATATATCACATTTTTATCGCATATCGCATTATAATACGACAGAATATAAATCAGCAAACGTAAGAGCGAGTTTGTATGTGATTATTTTGTGCCTAATTTTAATGTGTTTCTGTCAACACGAAATAGCGGTATTTTAACCAGCAGATGGCGCTGCAATCCTATCACTCAGCGTGGGTGGCTCAGTAAACAGCACTGGTTAAAGTGGAATTCCACCGATATTTCAAAATTCTTGAATAATTCAGTTGAGACGTAAACAAAGTAATTCAGAGTGGTTTGGTGTGAAATGGTTCATTGTAGACACTCATTGTAAAGTCAGTGGTGGTGAGAGAACCAGGGGTCGCGATGTGTACAGCACAAATATAGACATTTTATTTACCGTCCAAAACCACCGGTGAACAGGTGTCTTCCTTTATATGTTTTATATGTAATAATGATTGTACAATAGTTAAAATCTGAATCGGGGACTATTTAGCCTCACAATGACCTGCATGTAGCCTCCACCATGGATTTTAAAAATGTTTTAGACCAAAACTATCGTAAAAATGTTTCAGACAACGTATATATAACAATGTCATGTAATAACTTTTTGCGAGGGAGCTTTTAGAGGTGGACGTCTGGTTCCTATCACCACCACTGTGAACCACTTTAAATCTGTAAGTGTCTCTAGAATAGAACATTTCGCACCAAACCGCCTTGAATTACTTTTTTTTTTTTTTCATTTCAGCTATTTCATTTTGTAGAAAATTTGTAATAGTGGTGGAATTCCCCTTTAAGTTGAACAGATGGGCAATGATGAAAGCGAGAGGGCCATTTCTAAACACTTGGGGGAGCCAACTGACTTCAATCATATTATATTGGATGCAAGAATAAAATGGATAACACTAATACTAATACTGAAGTTTGATAAGTTTAAGGAACAGTTTAAGGAAAAGTTTTTTGTCTCTAAAAATTGCAAAATGTGTTTAAGTGACGTGTGCATAGTTTCTGCTGTCTTGATTTTTTGGAAGCAAAGCCATCAGTGATCTCTTCATATGATACTTTTAATGCCAATACAATGACTGAAAATGAATAATAATATAGTAAAAATATGATACTCATAGAGCCCCAAGTGACCCTAAACAAGAAATAGTCCTGTTTAGGAGCAGATTTGGACATTAGGTAAGGTAACCCATATTTAAGTGAGATAAATTGTGTGTATCACAAAGTTTATTACCTCTATAATTAGTTTAATGGGGTTAATAAGTTTCAGAGAGGTATGGATCTGAGAGTTTGTCTGTTTGATGAGGCATCCTGTAATTTACTGTTTTAGTAATCAGCATTTCTGATAAAAGTGCCTAGCTGATGTTTTAAAGGGCCCATATTAAAGAAAATTTCACTCTCCAGTCCATACAGTCCACATATAAAAATTAAGCTACATAAATACAGCCTGTTTGGAATTCATTGTTTTTTTTGTGATGTCACAAAAACCCAACACATTTACATACATTTAGCTGCTTAGCAAAAGTTAGAAGTGTCTCAGCCAGCCAGCTTTTTAAATGAGGCACAAGGACAGCCAATCAGAACAGAGCTCATTTACATATTATTTATATCAGTCTTAAAGACACAGGTTGTGTAATTCTGTATTAAAGAGATATTCAATGTTAAAGAAATTCTATATTAAAAGGATAAATAAAGGTTGCAAAGTGATCATGTAGAAATGAATTATGACAGTTTTTGTAAATAGAAAAATAAAAGAAAAGAAAAATGTGAGATATGGGCCCTTTAAATGTGTTTTTGTGGCTGTGAGGACAGTCAATGCTGTACTTTAGTGTAGTTACTGATATTGAGCCGTATTTTAACCGGACAGTTTCGGGCAGCGGAGCTGACCTTCAGGAGACGCTGTTACTGTTAAACATCTCAGCATGATGGAGCTTTTACAGGAATCACTAATGAAGCGTCGTCTGCACGTCTGTATAATCAGCTGAACCCTTTTACTGTAATAAAGCGTCTGTAAACAACAAGAAAACACAAAGTCTCTCTTTACAGGCCGCGGTCTCATCAGTAAATGACTTTAGAGCCGCTCCTAGACTCACTGTGTTCTGACTTTAGTGCTGGTGGTGCTCTTGGGGGGGTGGCAAAGAAGCTTCAGTTAAATTAGTCCTGAGTCTTTTACTGGATTAAACATATTAACAGCTGTGGGGTGCACAGAGCAAACAGCACTGACCCTCCAACACAACATACAACATTAACTCATTTATTAATTTACGTTTATATTTATTCATTTATAGTTATTCCTTTACCAGATGCTTTTATGCTCAAAAAGGGAAACATAGTGAGAGTCTCCTGAGATGTCACATATCAACATTTTTGAGCAATAAAATGTTCCCCTGGTCTGATCCTGGAGATACATCTTCATGCAGAGTCCAGTTCCAACCACAATCTGCTACACTTGCTCCTGACAGTTTACATCTTCTGAACTCTGTTGGTGTTTTACTGAAATGTTATTCTGAAATGTGGAAAGCAGTTAAAATAAAAAACCTTCAGCAGTAGGTGTTCAAACTGCAACTGTATTCAGATGTGCCGCAGTTTGTTGTTGGTAGAGAACGGAGAGGGGGGTTAGAAAGTGAAGTAAAGACCCCCGGAGTGTGGCTGTAGACCCCTGGGTGAGCGTGTTGATCCCTGCAGATGTTTCTCATGCTCATGCGTAAAGAACAGGCCTCAGTACAAAGAGGAGAATTTAAATCTGTGTCCTTCAGTGAAAATGGCTTTGAATGATCACTATCCATCAGCAGGGCCTTAACTTAACTACATCTGCAGCTGAAAGAACCACAGAACCGCAGAATCTCAGAACCCCCCAGTGCTACTCTTACTGACCAGGGAAAACATGCGAGTTTAGCACTAATGTTTATGTAAGGAGGCATGTCTGGATCTTCTGGATCTGTATGAGTGTAGCACTGCTTTGAAAAGAAAACTGTTTTTTCAAGCCAGCTTTTTCCCCCTATTATTTCTTCTTCTTTTTTGACCTACTCCTCCTCCTTGTCCTCCTCCTCATGCTTCTTCTTCTTCTCATCATCATCATCGTCTTCTGCTTCTTTTTCTTCATATTTTCCTGGTCTTTTCCATGGTTTCCTGTACTGTCTCCTCTAGACTGCAGATATGATTCTATATTAAAGTATTAATGTCTCATACATATGATTGACAGGTCAGGCTCTTGTTTAATGCTTGTTTAATTAAGAGCAGAGTTATTGATGTGTTGGGGGAGGGTTAAGTGGGTGGAAGAGCATTCCAGCATTTCAGTGCCACTCAGCATGTTTCCCTAAAGTTTACAGTAAACACAGGTCTGTGAGCCACTTCCCAACATTTAGCAGATGGAAATGAGGAACATCTCAGATCTTTATCTGACCATCCTCATCCACACACCTCCATACTGTTTAAGGAGCTGCCTAACAGTTCATATTCATGGAGAGCAATTACTCACAGAAGAATAGCATTGCGGCTGCAGAGAGCAGCTTAAAGCAGCAGGTTCAGAAAGCCAGGTTAGTCCACAGGAGCCCTGAGGGCACAGTCATCAGGATCAGCCTTTAAGCATTTATCTTCACAGCAGAGGAACTTCAGGCTGATCTGATCTGATAGTGCACTTCACCACAGGCCCTGGTGGCACTGAATATTCCTTACGGCCCTCAATGAGGGATTTCCCCCGGATCTCTCTCAGGAAACATCTCAGAGCTCCAGAGGAGTGGAGATTAGGAAAATGAAAGTTAGTGTGAGATGAACAGCACTGTTGGAAGGGCATATGCCAATTAATTAAAGTTTACTCTTAATCATTCACTCTCTTGTACCAATTTAAGACTGCTTCAGAGAACTTTCACATTATGTGGCAGTTCTGTAAACTTTAAAAGTCACACATCTAATGTCTTTTAAGAACCATCCACTGAAAGGTTCTTTAGGGAACCAAAAGCAGTTCTTCTATGACATTGCACAAGGATCCCTTTTTGGAACCTTTATTTTATAAATGATTAAAATACATAAAAAGTAATGAGCTTGAATAGGAGCTTCATTCTGATTTGATGTTTGATTTTATTTATTTATTTATTGATGCGTCTACCAAAGAATTATACATCTGCAGTGTATTATTTAATCTTCATTTTAAGTACTGTTTTATTATTTTTGTATATATTTTTTTGTTTTAACTTTTATTTTGCTTTATGTTTTGTCTTATGTGGAAGTTTTTGAGACTTCTTTTAGTATTCTCTATTATTACTTTTATTTTAGTAAAATTTTACTGTACAAATAGTGTTCCTTTAGTAAAGGCAATGGCATTGTATAGAACTGTGATAAGTCAAAGAACCATTTGAGTGCATAAATGGTTAAATGGTACCTTTTCTATGATGAAAAACATGTATATGGGTATTTACATAGACTTTTAATAACAGAAGGGTGCTGCTATTGCTAAGTCATAGAACCTTTTTGGTATTGTATAGAACCCCTTTTGTTAAGAGGGTTAAATTAGAAGAGACTGTAACAGTGAGTAGAGAATGGTGAGTTCCTGTAACCCTGCTGCGTACCTCTGCTCCATTCCCCTGCGCCCTTCCCCTGCTTGATTTTCCTGCCTTGTACCCCTGCCCCGTATCCCTGT